TATTAACGACGTTTCGAATAGTTTACAGTTTTCATGGTCCGACTGATTTGGTCACGGACTCGATAACCGTAAAAACAGTTTTAATTAAAGTAAAGAAATAAACAAACAAACAAACACTAATATTATAAAACAAAAATTATACTTTTGTAAAATGAGATCCGAAATTGGTTTTAAAATTACTTACCAAATAATAAATATACCTATACCGCAACCGGGTGTGGAACCGCAACATACTTACCGTAACTTTTTTCAGAAAATTTCTAGATGAAAACGGTTGTCTTAGATCGCGTTTAGCGATAAGACCTCTTATTGTACACAGTATATCAACCTGTTGACTGATTTCCAATGTTAATTTTATTTTAGAGTGCAATAAAGTATACTCTCTCTCTCTCTTTCTGGTTTTGATTAGAACGTCTCTATATCTCTCTCACACGCAGTACACTATAATGGCGTAACTGACATCAAACCAGAATTTACTTTCTACGATTTATTTACATTTATCACAATGCCACTTCCATGTGATAATATTTTTTTCTGTTTTAACTTGAATTTCTAAATATCTTTGGTGAAGAATGTGTAATTAACATCCCTACTCCGAATGAAACAAATGTCGATTAGAAAGTTGTTCCTTCTTTCGCAGGATAACCAATTTAGTAAGCCTTTGTTCGTGTTTAACGTATTTTCGTTTCTCTCAGTCAAAATTACAGTTTTTAACCTATTCAGAAATAAAACAATGCATAGCAAATAAGGCAATGGTGAATCTGATAAAAAAAAACCCGCCATAATCCGACTAAAAGCACGAGAAATTGCAATACCACAATTTTTAGCGGTACATCAAATTACCGTACTTCAGTACCCAGACGCCGGTTCCAAGGAATGTTATTTACACAGAAAAAATATTTCATGTACCGTTGAAAATTTTCCATTTATCTTGAACGTTGACTACCGGAAAACCGTTCGGTCGGGGAAAGACCGTTTTTTTTCCCGAAACTGTAACCGGTTTTCATATAACATTAAAATGTAAATGTTTGAACTAGTGCAACATAAAATGTCCCTGGGCTGGGTGTTATTAGTTTTCTTTTCAGAATGTTAAACATTACAACGGAGATATTTACGTCTAAACAACTGTTTTAATTTCTAACTCTTCACATATTTTTACACGCTTTATATTAGCTTCACTCGTATGTATGTTTGTATGTTTGTAACTGACTCCTTTAGACGCGAATTTGACCCACTTTAAACGGCCAGATTTCATTCAAACTGTGTAGATTTATCGAGGTCTGATGACAATTCAATAATAATAAAAAATTTGAAAAATTGAAATTCACTAAAAAATGAAGCTTTTTTTAACAACAAAATATATATATTTTTTTTTACACTATTTTGGATTTAAATTTATTAAAATTTATTTTCTATTTTTTAGTTGAATTTTATATAAAGCGTGTTTTTTAGTTTTTTTAAACTATTATTTATTTGTTGTCTGTTCCTTCTAATATCGGTCAAAGAATCTTTCAATTTCCATGTTATTTTTTGACGCTTACTTATAGTTTGAGGTCCAGCTTTGTTTACAACAATCAGCTGTGTTTGCAGTATCGCCATTGTCAAACATCGCCACTGCTTGTTCCAATATTTGGCCGATTCGTCTATTATCTGTCATCTTCTTCCGCCTTGTATCGATTTCATTTATTCCGCCCTTATTGCTGAAAGAAGAAATGTCTAAAATAGAACATAAAATACTCCATCCAGAAAATTTTGATTAAAAGGAAATTACTTACTATTATTCTTCTTTTGGGATGAAGGCGTTGTTGGCACAAGCCGTGCGGGAGCGATTTTGACCACAAATTACTCGGGGGATCCGTTACGACGACGACCAGTTTTAGAGGTCATTAGATATATTTTATTGATAGAGATTGCTTTGTTTGCTCACGAATTTCCAAGTATTTTAGTTTGCCAACAAACTAATTATGAAGGCGGTGAGTTTGAAAATTGAGATATTTGTTAGAAGGATGTTTATATTCAATGCGTGTTCAAATTATACAAGGCGATAAGTTTCTCGTATTACTTTTGCTAAGACTTATAATTGATGTCGATCGAAATCAAATTTAAACGAAGATTTGTTAATTATATTATAATAGTTTTATTAAACGGATAAAGACATCAAACTGACACGTCGTCTTCGTCTCGAATGTTACTGTCATTATGTTGAGTCCAACGTTAACGTAACGACTGATGTTCCATTATAAACGTAGCTATGTGGGTATTTCCTTATATACGGCACGCCGGGGTTCAAATCATGTTAAGGCAGCAGGTAATGAAGTGGTAGGCAGAGGCACTTTTGTCGGATGATTGAATCCGCCCCTATCACGCCGAGTGGCTCGGGTAGAATTATAGCAGGGTTGACAAACAATTTACGCGTTTCGTCATTAGGAAATTACATAATAAATACATAGCATCGTGTAATAAAAATGAAACCCGCAAAATTATAATTTGCGTAATTACTGGTGGTAGGACCTCTTGTGAGTCCGCGCGGATAGGTACCACTGCCCCGCCTATTTCTGCCGTGAAGCAGTAATGCGTTTCGGTTTGAAGGGTGGGGCAGCCGTTGTGACTATACTGAGACCTTAGAACTATATCTCAAGGTGTGTGGCGCATTTACGTTGTAGATGTCTATGGGCTCCAGTAACCACTTAACATCAGGTGGGCTGTGAGCTCGTCCACACATCTAAGCAAAAACATGCGACATTAACATTAGTTTTAATTATAGCGACGACTGACGAAAACCGAAGAAGATACTATAAATATAACATTCGCATATAATTATATATAACGAAGTGGCTATTTCTATGGTGTTTCTAAAGTGATGACGTCAGCATTGCTGATGATTAACCAACAATATCGACATTAAGGACAAGGTTAACTTTATCTAGTCTTAGTTAACTAAATTCATGAATACATATTTCTTTTTTTATTAAAACATGAAAGTGGTATGCAGCGGCTTGGCTCTGTCCCTGGCATTGCTGAAGTCCATGGGCGACGGTAACCACTCACCATCAGGTGGGCCGTATGCTCGTCTGCTTAGAAGGGCAATAAAAAAAAAGAATGAAGTAATGAATACAATTACACATATTAGCTTACTTCTGATACATACCTGAAAAGGTACAACAAGATTCTCTCACACATGCTTATAATCAATTTTTTTAGTACAAGTTCTGGATACATTTCATCAAACGGTTACGGGTTTGAAGTTTGATGAAAATCCATGTTTAATGTTATTTCATATGGCAAACATCGGTTCATGAGTTGATTGAGTTCAAACAGGAAATAAGTTAAAAAGGTAACTTGATTATTCGATTATTCACTCTTTCGAAATTAGACAATTATGGTTATTGTTGAATACAAATTTTATGCAAAATGTTATCACCCTTGGAGCCTCTGGGTCTGCGGAGGCACTTCGGTTCCCTCTGTATTTTGTACCGCATGTTCCATGGGGAGTGCTCTGAGGAATTGTTCGAGATGATACTAACGTCTCGTTTTTACCATCGCACCGCCCGCCACCGGAGTAGAGTTCATCCATACTACCTGGAGCCACTGCGGTCATCCACAGTGCGTTTCCAGAGGTCTTTTTTGCCATGTACCATCCGGCTATGGAATGAGCTCCCCTACACGGTGTTTCCCGAGCGCTATGACATGTCCTTCTTCAAACGAGGCTTGTGGAGAGTATTAAACAGTAGGCAGCGGCGTGGCTCTGCTCCTGGCATTGCTGAAGTCCATGGGCGACGGTAACCACTTACCATCAGGTGGGCCGTACTCTCCTCTGCCTACAAAAGCAATAAAAAAAAAACCTAAAAAAATAGAGATAAAAATATCCTTGGAAAATAGAGCTGACTGGCGCTGTTATTGATGACACTTGTTCGCTGTTCAGGGTTCACAGACAAGTTGCTGTCGCTTTTCATGCTGATAAATGACGCACTTTATCACGGATTACAAAGAGGTTTATATTGTTATTATAAGAGCTCATACAAACATAATGCTCCAACACTATTTCATCTATTTTAAAAAGAATGTGATAATATGTGATGACTAATTGCGATATAACCCTTCTTAATAATACAATCTCTTACGTCTCTCTTACCAAATTTTAATATTATGTCTTGAAAACCTAATAAATAAGCGACTATAGATAAAATACTATAATGAAGTCTAAGGCGTAGAAAAAAACATACATTAGCGTGATTGTATTCATAGCTCATCTCTTAGTCTAAATTTGAGTTATAATCTAATAGTATATTAAGTGAATACATAAATTATATTATAGCCTTTTTGGAGGTTAGAAATTCTACAACGGATGCTGCAAAATGACACTTGGAAAATAAATATAAAAATACAAAAGGTGTCTCGGTAAAATATTATGATATTCAATTGGTTTCAAATTTCAAATTACCGAACATTTTGAAAAGTTCAAAGCAGTCTAACTATTGAAGACCGAAGGCTACGTCAAAACTCGTCAGAGAGCACCTACACCAAACTATCACCAATGTTGTAGTAGGTTTTTTTTAAAATATCATTATGTTTTTTACTATTATCGATCACATACTATCGGACAGCCAATCTGGCGATGAATTTCGATAAGTGTTCTTGGATGTTCGTAATGCCAACCTGGAAGGGATTCTTCTAAAGCCTAGTCCGAAAAATGACAAAACAAAAATGACAGCTGGAAAATCATTCAATGAGATAACTTCATTACATAGAATGCTGTAATTTTTTAATATAGGGATTAATTCTGTTCCCGGTTATAATAACGACTATCTGAAGCTAATTCTTAGATCTATCCTATCGTTCTACTACTTACCCTACCCCCCAACCTCACTACCCATTGAACGTATGGTTCAAAATGCAACGTGAACCAACGTAACGAAACAAATTTTTTCTTTTTAAATTTTATTATTTATTATATTCGACACAGATACTCATGCTTTTGTTATTTTTGTTTTTGCTAACAGAAAGCCATGACGGTAAGTTAACTCAACATTAAATAATTGGACGTGTTACGTCTTTATGATATTTTATGGTCAACTTTTCGATTTTGCTTTAGTCACGTATTTGAATACAAAATATGCAGTTAAGATAATGTAAATTAAACATAATATTCGAAGTAAAATTAAAATACAATATTCGATCGATATTTCATGTTTTACTTAAATTTTAAATTCACAAAATGAATTCAATATGAATTTAAAAAACTCTTCAAAGATATCAACCCTAAAAGCAATATCCATTCGATATATGCATCTGATACAGTGCCTATAAAAATATACAGTACAGATAAAAATATAATTCAATTTTACTATCTGACATTTCTATACTGAGAGAAATGTATATTATATACATACATACGTGCACGATTCAATGTCTCTAACCCTGTTAGAAATGTGGTGCGTAATTTTATACATATATGTATGCAGGGCTGTCCCTTGTCTAGTCAATTACAAAAAAAAAACTTCAATTTTTTTAATAGAACGAGAATAGCTACGTAATATTTATGTCATTCAAAATACTGAATTTTAGTTGTAATATTAAATATAGAATAATAAGAAAGAACAGGTTTATGATTTTAAAATGGATGTAAGAATATTCACTCGTTTAAGTTTTATTTTGTTTCTATTGTCGATTTTTGTATGTGCCATTTATAAAAAAAACCTCATGGTAATTTCTTGCAAATTCTATTATATTTTTTTTATTGTTTGCCAAGGCCAACTAGTTGTTATTATTATAAAATTTCAGTTCGGCGTTTTAGTTATATGTATGTACGAGTGTTTAGATTCGTGTACCGGATTTAAAAATTATTCTTAAACGATATAATACCGTTTTTAGTTGGCATATTTTCAACTTAGGATATAGAATAAGGATAATTTAAAGATAAAACTTTATTATTGCTGTGACAAATAGTAATCACGTGCACAGCCCTGTCAGTCTATAGCAGCGGCGCGGCGTGTAGACTGTGCGACGCCGGCGGACGCGACAATTTGCGTCGCCCCCTACACCTGCTAACTAGTTTACTTCGTTATAGTTATGTCTCGTTATGCCGTTAGATGTTGAGAAAATATATCTTCAGCGTTCCCTCTCTAATGTATATTACATGTTATTTATAATAAAGTAAATAATTCTCGACAATATTAATAAGCTCTAATTGTTCCTAACTGAGACTACATATGAAATCTGTTGCATATTTCTTGAAACCGTTGATCGTAGAATTAACGTGTTTTACAGCAAGCATTAATGTAATATTTCTTATTGATAAAGTTCAGGGTTTACAAAAATAAATACGTTTTTTTTTTTTCGTAGGTCAAGAAAATGGCAGATCGTGTATCGAAATGTCGCGACGAAGTGTCAAAGAACCGAGAAAAATACCAGACAGCTCTAGCCGAGATCACGGCGTACAACCCTCGATACATAGAGGACATGACTTCAGTATTCGATAGGTAAGAAAGACTACGTTTATGAAATCGTCTTAAAATTTATACTAATATATAAATCTACAGTGGTTTTTACGGATGTTCCGTTATAACTACTGAACTGTGCATCCGATTGATTTGAAACTTGGTATCCATGTAGAAAATACACGTACTTAATGGATAGGCTATTATTAATATGAGTGTTGGACTCCCTACACCAGTTGCGGGGGCGTTAATGATGAGAATCTTTGTGGGGGTGAGAAATAATAATGTTAATTTCAAATGCCCAGTGAAGCGGTCGGATACAGCTAGTCTTCTATAAATCTACTGTCATGTGGTTTTTTCTAGCATCCATACGTATGTATATAATTTATAAATTAACCGCCAAAACTAAACATCAATCGTGTAGGTAATCTTCAATAGCTTCAAAGGATTTTCGGTTATACAAATTTCAATTCCGATTAGTTTGCATCACGTAGTACACTGATTGCTCGTAACCGATCATAACTTTGACGTCGCGATGTGATCGTGATTGTAATTGTGTAATTACATGTTTACCTTGAGGCCGTCGGGACGGGGTTTGATGTCATCATCGTTATCAGGTATCGTCGCTAAACGTCTACAATGCTTAGACAAATGTATCGCGATTATCGCCTTAAAATTATTACGTTCGAGATCCTACTTATTCGCAATATCGCACATTGCGGCAACGGGACTCAAGCTGCTTTTAGTGCCATATAGTATACTTAGCCAATAATATATAGTACAGTACAGCGTGAATGTGTCCATAACAACATATGGTGTGCTATGAGCTATATACTATATGCTATTATAGTATAGCGTAGTCTGAAAGCGGCTTTATGATACATTACGTACATATGTGGCTGAACCAACTCACAACTCACCGAGTGTAAGATTGGTCCGGTACCAATCTTACACTCGGTGTATTAGACACTTATAGAAAACGCGGATGCCACCGCAAACCTTGAGACATGAGGTTGTAGACTCAATAGTATAATGGTAATCCCATCCTTTAAATCGCATTATAGCNTATGGTGTGCTATGAGCTATATACTATATGCTATTATAGTATAGCGTAGTCTGAAAGCGGCTTTATGATACATTACGTACATATGTGGCTGAACCAACTCACAACTCACCGAGTGTAAGATTGGTCCGGTACCAATCTTACACTCGGTGTATTAGACACTTATAGAAAACGCGGATGCCACCGCAAACCTTGAGACATGAGGTTGTAGACTCAATAGTATAATGGTAATCCCATCCTTTAAATCGCATTATAGCTTACGGCAGAAATAGATAGGATGGAGACCAGACGATAAACCTACTCTTGCGTGCTTAAAATACGCGCGCAGTAATAAATGACTAATGGCAATTGTTGTGCGATAGTGCAATACAGACAGAACGCTGCCGCCATTTTGCGAGCGCCATTTGAAATTTGCGAAGTGTTCCCCCCTCGCGTAGCTGGAATTGCCCCTTATGTTACCACTGATAGGTAAAAAAAAGTTGTAAAGTCCGCACGAGTAGGCACCAAAATTCTGCGAAAAGCATCTCTGCGCTCTGGTTTTTGAAGGGTAGGACACTATTTCTACAATTTCATTGAGACTTCGACGACATGTTTCAGTGTGAGTGACGAACCCACTGAGTTTCTCACCGGATCTTACGGGTAGATTCTGCGAAACACTGCTCTTGCTAGGGCTAGTGTTAGCAACGCCCCCAGGTTAAAGCCTCGAGAGCTCACCTACACTTAGATTACGCCGGCATAGCCTCTCAATGCTACCAGCTTAGGTAAAACAAATTATTAAAATTAAGTGAGTGACGACAATGACGTTGTGACGTCTTTTGGTTCCGTTAACCCCTTAACACGAAGGGTGCGGGTAGGCTCAATCAAAATTTTACTAAGGTATCATCGCCTTTATAAATCTTGGTAAAACGCTAATTTATCAGTTTGTAAACTTTATTTGTATGCTCGCTAAGCAGCAGACTTGGGTCTGCCCCTGCTGTCGTCCATGAACAACGCTAACCCTTCACCATCGGGCGGGCCGTATGCTCGTCTAACTACAAGGATAAATAAATAAATAAATTGTTGTCATTTCTTTTATCCTTTTACAGGTGCCAACAGATGGAAGCGCAGCGATTGAAATTCTTCAAAGATGTGCTGTTTAGCTTCCACAAATGCCTCAACATAAGTCAAGAACCGAGGTCAGAATATTTCTTTATACAGTAAAGACTAATATATAAATCTACAGTGGTTTTTACGGATGTTACGTTATAACTACTGAACCATGCGTCCGATTGACTTGAAACTTCGTATCCATGTAGAAAATACATGTACTTAATAGATACGCTAATATTTATAAGAGTGTTGGACTTTTTAATAATAATGACAATAAATACGGCGAGTACAGCTATTTATACAATAAATATGTGATGTATATCAAAAATGTACACCGAGATAACTGGCAATATAATTGACGTGTCAAAACTTAAATGTATTAAACTATAGAGAGAAATGATAATGCGTTTTCAGCTTACCGCAAATCTACGAAGAGTTCCACCACACGATCAACAACGCAGACAGCCAGAAGGACCTCAAGTGGTGGGCCAACAACCACGGGGTCAATATGGCGATGGCCTGGCCTCAGTTCGAGGTACGGACGTCATCTGCTACTATCCTCAGCCTGCATCAGTTATCTCTAACCGCACTGAGACACAGTCATCAGCAGAAAGATATATCTAATAAAATGATCACGTTATTTTTAAAGGATTTCGAAACAATTAAAGCCATTTAAGAATAAATAAATAATAGAGGAGAATTTGAATATTATGGAGGGAAAAAAACGATACATTATTAATACAGAAGCTACTCCTTTTTGATCCTCGAAGTTGGTTCATAAATAGCCTGTTTATTAGTATTAAAAATTTTTTTGTCTACCTCATTGGATAACTGTGTCTCTTTGATCTGATCTGATTTGCTCTAGTTTCCTCCGTGTCGAGTGCATTTTACTAAATTGTTAATGCTTATAGTTAGGTAGTGCATTTGAGATACTATTATTAATACACTATCATTGAATACAGAACATGGTATATTAAAGGTAGTTATAGCTCTCGCTGTGTAGATTAGCGTATTTCTAGTCTCATGAACTTGCCCTGAATAATAAGGTAATAAAATTATAATTGGCTTCACAAACATATAAATTGAAAACATTTTTCAACAATCACAATCGTGGAGATAATAAAGAAAATCGATTTACGCCATTTCTCAAACAGAAAAACGTAATAAATGGTTCCAATGCATCAAGTTACACGTCAGTCAACGGAAGGTAGTTCGTAATTTTTGTATGAAATCACTACGATTGTCTAGGGTGCGTTTTCAGGTGTCTCTTTTTCCTCTAGCTATAAATTGGACCCCCTTTATAACTGTCAAAGCGCTGTGATAGATCACTGTTCAAAGGAGGGCTCAAGAATAATCCGGAATGTAGCCACTTAGTAGTGAAAAATCCCATGGCACCACTTCCTATCGCGTGTACTATTAATCTATTATTAGTGAATAAAAAAATATGAAACAATCGTACGAAATACTTACTACAAATAAATACTCTATTTAAAACATTTATTACAAATATTTATTTTACAAATCAACAACTCAAACCGATTATAAGTGTATAATTATAGAGTATATATATTATATTACCGTTAAAATTGGTTTATCAACTACAGTCTACAAGAATTCATTTTACAAAAGCACGCCTTTCAAACGCCAAAGTTTATATACTTCTATTTAGATAGATTTTCATTCGTCGTTATCTAGGTGAATTGTTCGAATTCGTGCATTGATTTTGATCGAATTGGTTTCCTGTCACCTCGCTTAGGAAAACCCGTTAATGATTTAATTAAAAACACGATTAAAGAAGCATTAAGAATATATAATCAATTTAGTGGATAATATATAAATTAAGATACCTACGGTTTTAATAATCGTGAGATATTCAAATTTCGTGCAGGCGTATTTCGATTTTAATAAACACATTTAATCGAATTAAATTTTATCGAAAGTCTTGAGTGCTAATTTAGATAAAGGATTATAAATAAAAACGAAACTATACGAAAAAACTTCACAAATAACATTTATAAATACGACTTGAAGATTATATGTATTAATAAAGAGAAAATCACTGTCAATGTCACGAAGATACGAAACATCGTACATACATATGGCACTTATTCGTATGAGGCCAAAGGTACAGTTTCATGAACGTAATTCCGCAATAAGGACGAACCGGACGCGCCAGGCTCGTTTTACGAAGTGTACTCGTTGCGGGCGTCAGCGGCGATAGGACGCGTGCTGTCGTCCGACTTGTGGACGCGTTGTCTGCGCGCCGTCCGCGTGGCTCCATCCCTAGCCGGCTCGTATCGCCCCACGGCGTTCTTCTATACCAACCCGCTAATGGTACGAAACGACACCGCCGACCGCACGCACACACCAGCTTAAATCAAACGTACGGGCTCATTGTTGTTAATGTGTGCGTTGATGTGAACAATGTAGACGGTAGGTAAGTACAGCGGTGGTCAGAGGCAATAGCACAAAACTCGCAAACGAACGTTAAGAATTGGAAACGCACGAAATGGTTTTGTGGAGGCACAAGAGTATACACCGTGGATGGATGGCGCGTTATATACAATAGTTGCAACACATAGCGAAATCACAGCACCCCTCCTCCGAGGTGTTCCACGGCAGTAAGGCGGTTGTGTGTAGTACTTACGGTGAATAGAATAGAATAGCGATCATTGAAAATACGCCATTGTGGAACCATAGTTCAAAAAACAGTTGGAACTTTGATAAAATTTGTTGAATGTATTTTAGAATAATACTTTACGTAACACGCGGATTCACTCGCGTTAAATTCAGAAAAAATGAAGTCACATTTTTTTTTCGGAATAAGGAGTTGCTTGTATTATTCTCGCCGGATCTTCTCAGTGGGTCACAATATCGATGGAGTGGTAGATTCTGCGAAGCACTACTAGGGCTAGTGTTTGCAGATTTTCTCAGGTTTGAGCCGGTGAGCTCATTTACCCGTCCGCGCATATCTGGAATAACTTCTTAGGATACCAGCGAATAAGTAAAGAAAAAAATCTTAAGCTTATTAAGTACCGGTCCATGCACGTGCTTTACCTGTATGCGATGGCAGATGAAAATTAGTTCTTGATAAGATTTACCTTACCTAGGTTAAGATTAAGGTTAGGGTTATTTTTTCATTCGGTATTCGTGACGCGAAGACACAATTAAGGCTACTATTACGGTTTCTTTTCGTGTTTTTATAGTCGATAGTATATCGACGTTACGTTTTTAATTTTCGTTGTCGTTAAATCTATAGGATAGCTTAGGAGAGAGATCCCGTGATGAATGATGAATAAAATTACTAAATAGAAAATTATTCGAAATTGCAATATTTACTTTGATTAAAACAAAATTTAATATTTTATGATTTTAAATTCAACCCTTTTAGTTAGGTATGTTAGTTTCTACGCATGATTAGTAGTCACAGATCCCTATTAGAATTCTTCTACCTATTAGAAATCTTCTTTTCATTTAGCTTACACTATTAACGTTCACTAGCTTTGGATGGACGTGTTGTGGATTGTTTCTAATTTATTATTATTTTTATTTGTTTTTTTTTACATTATATTGAGTTCGCATAAAACGAATCGAAAGTTTGGACGAACTAATGAGAATCGTATTGCAAAAAACTAAACTTTAAATAAATTTAGTGAACAGTCCAAATTTTCGTTTCGTTAATACCTGTGACCGCTTGTGATCGGGTGTGTCGGTGACTCAGGAGTACACCGAGGAGTTCCGGGACATCGCCAAGGGCAAGTCCAAGGAGAGCCTGCCCACCGGACCGATTACGTTGCTCAATCAGCGGCCAGTCAGCGAGGATGTACGTTTCACACACGCTACGTCGCTAACACGTCGCATAAGCATGTTACCGAAATCGCGACTAACTAACTGCCATCGAATGTACCGACTGACTGATAAACAGTGAACACCTCTTGTGATTACCGGTGGTAGGACCTCTTGTGAGTCCGCACGGGTAGGTACCACCACCCCGCCTATTTCTGAAGCAGTAAATGCGTTTCGGTTTGAAGGGCGGGGCAGCCGTTGTAACTGAGAAATTAGAACTTATATCTCAAGGTGGGTGGCGCATTTACTTAACATCAGCTGGGCTTGAGCCCGTCCACCCATCTAAGCAATAAAAAAATAATTACACTATACTGTGTCAATAAAGAGGGATCTATCAAAAATGGCAACACCAGATTTTAATATTCTATTCGCTGAACTGGCAACACTAGATATAGTGTCAACACAAAATCCCACAAATACACGTGCTTATGCGTCGTCGTCGGTGCACAGTCCTAATCCTAAAACGTTTGAGCGCAGTTTATATTTAATAAAAAAATAATATTAAAAAATAAAATTTTAATATTAAATACAAACTGCGCTCAAACATAATATCTAGGATTTAAATGAGAATGAATATATGAGTTAACTAATATCGGTTGATAGTTCTCCTTAATATAATTTTCTAAAGCATGTTGTTGAAAGAATCGGGTCTAGTTTCCTGTAGTCGTAGTCTATTGGTGTTGAGGTCATTCTCATTTCGATCTTCTTTAGAAATAAGCTTTTTTTATTTATTTATTTTCATAATAAAATATATTTTGTCTTAATAGATGTTGCATGATGGATGTTGCTTTAAATAGAAAGCATTTGGCATGTCATCCCCTGACAGCAGATATGTGTATTAGTTATTTATTTTTTATAATATTTATGTAATTATTTTATTAAATCTCTCTTAATACAAACTAAAAGAAATGAATTAAAAAACGCTCAAATTTTTCTTTTGAATTATTATTTTTATTAAAATCAGAAATATTTATTAAAAATACGTTAAATGATGAGTATAATAATTTATTACAATTTAACAATCACTAATTAAATATTATAAAATTTAATTTAGTAACTAATCTTAATTCATTTAGTAAAGTAAATACTCATCATTTACCTTGACCATATAGGTAGATTTAGCACACATGAGTATTAAAAAAATGCGTTTGTGATGGGAACAGGAGTTACCGCCAATAACGAATAACAAGACGAACAAAAGTAACAATCACTCGGAGCCCCCCGTGCCCGCGCCCGCTGCCCCGCCCCTCTCCAACAACACCACCGCCAACAACACCATAGACAAGAAGACCATCAGCGCTCCCATCGCCGTCACGTGAGTACAGCACTTAAGTCGAGTTTTTGCTAAATTTTTTTTTTATTGCTTAGATAGGTGGACGAGCTCACAGCCCACCTGGTGTTAAGTAGTTACTGGAGCCCATAGACATATATAACGTAAATGCGCCACCCACCTTGAGATATAAGTTCTAAGGTCTCAAGTATAGTTACAACGGCTGCCCCATCCTTCAAACCGAAACGCATTAAGGCTTCACAGCAGAAAAAGGCGGGGTGGTGGTACCCACCCGCGCGAACTCACAAGACGTCCTACCACCAGTAAATATTATAACTAAAACGAAAAAAATAACACGTCATTTCGGATCCTCGCGATCCACTAACGGTGCTTTTAGATACCCCAAGCACCGTTCATCGTTTTCGTCGAACCCGTTGCTTGCGACGAAAGGCTCGGCGATAAATTAACCCACAGACACAGCCCACTGAGTTTCTCGCCGGATCTTCTCAGTGGGTCGCGTTTCCGATCCGGTGGTAGATTCTGCGAAGCACGGTACTTGCTAGGGTTCGTGTTAGCAACGTCGTTAGGTTTGACAGGCCCCCTACAAGCTCGGTGAATCTAGAATAACCCCTATAGGTTACTAGAAAAGGCAGGAAAAAAAAACATTAAAAAAAATAAGAATCCTTTTATCAATTTTAATTTTATAAGTGTAAAAATCAAAGATAGAAATTATTATCAGTTTTATCCCTCCTATACAATAAATACGTAAAGAATAAAAAATAAGTACTAATTATTTCAGAATAAAAAAATCATAGTGGAACGGTTGTGAGACTGGTCATTATAAAATAAAGTAAATTGCTAATCAAATATTCCCAAAAAATAAACTCGTAATAGGTATTAGCCGGTTCACTTATAATACCTTAAAATTCTCCAACAATTGGGAACCTATTTATTGCAGTCACGCCTAATCCCTATGTTCCTTCCTTAACACCTTTCCTGCTCTCCCTTCCCTAGTATTGAACGTCTGGAAATATACGCGTGTGGGTCGCTCGTGTCCCACGCCTGGCACTCGCTCGGCGGGGATCCGGTGCGCCTGGCACTACCCCCGGGGGACCACGGGAACTCATGCCGCAACTACGTGTTAGTTGTGTTCAAATGTGTTGGGAATCATTAATGAAGACATTATTTATTCATGTACAACATTGTCTCATTTCCATCTTTTTTTTATTGCTCAGATGGTTGGACCAGCTTACAGCCCACCCGGTGTTAAGTGGTTACTGGAGCCCATAGACATCTAGAACGTAAATGCGCCATCCACCTTGAGATATAAATTCTAAGGTCTTAAGTATAGTTACCGCGACTGCCCCACCCTTCAAACCGAAACGCATTACTGCTTCACGGCAGAATTAGTAGTCGTGGTGGCCTAAAGGATAAGAGGTCCGGTGCATACGTGTTGAGCGATGCACCGGTGTTCGAATCTCAGGCGGGTACCAATTTTTTTAATGAAATATGTACTCAACAAACGTTTACGATTGACTTTCATGGTGAAGGAATAACATCGTGTAATAAAAATCAAACCCGCTAGAATCAAGCTAGAATTTAAAAACAAGTTTAACAATAATATTTAGTACATATTTTGTTTACATGCTAATCTCATATAAATTAAATTAACGATTTCTGTATATTAATTTACTTATATATATTAAATTAATTAGTATTAGAAGGTTTACAAGTCACGATATTATCTCTTCGTTAAAGTATAATCATTTGTCATTGACATTGACAGTAACGGCACGGCGGGCGGCCCGAAGTCGAACAAGTCGTCGCCCGCGCGGGAGGGCGCCGACAACCCGTTCGAGGAGGAGGAGTGGGACGGGGACGGGGAGGGGGGCGCGCTCACGGACTCCGGCGAGCCCGGCCTGCCCGTGCGCGCGCTCTACGACTACACCGGCGCAGAGAGCGACGAGCTCTCCTTCCGGCAGGGTAAGTGTTGATACTCCAAGATCCCAGGGTCACCAGACGTCACATATTTTCTGACGAACGAAATGTGCCCGATTGCGTAGTGTTAATATGTACTAAAAACGCATGCCTACCTGCTACCTTGTCTAGACGGCCAATTTTCAGGTATCAGGTAATCAAGATATTATACATAAAATCATTACGAACTTGATGTAAATTGTGAAAGCTGATTTTTACTTATATTTTAGGCAATACCCTTAAAAATAAGTCGCCAATACTCCCAGACACTTTCCGTCGGCCGAATTGCTTTGCAGACGCTTTAAAGCTCCCAAAATAATTACCTAACTTCACGTAAATTATGATGCTTCATTTTTATATATGTCCACCAGATAACTATTTTAAAACTTCTTACAAAAAGACAGACCGATCCAAGGGGCCAATCATCCCCAAATTTAATTTTAATACCTCTGTGGGTAAGAGCGCGAGGGCATTATATTGACTTCTCTGTCTCTCTGTCTCTTTCTTACAGTTGACTCATATCAATTAATTATTAATATTAAAAGAAAATCAGTTAAAAATTAAATAATAAGGTAAATAAATAAAAATTAACTTTTAAAAAATGCTCATTTGACTACCATAATTCTTGAATTTTATCCTCCCGGGTAAAAAAATTATGTATATATAATTATGTATAAATAGGTAGGCAGCGGCTTGGCTCTGCCCCAGGCATTGCTGAAGTAGTGTAGTAAGTTCGTAATAATTTGATGTACCTCGATTACCTGAAACCTGAAAATTGGCCGTCTAAGCAAGGTTCTACAGGTAGGTATGCGTTCTTAGTACATACTAACACTACGCAGTCGGCCACATTTCGTTCGTCAGTAAATACATGACGTCTGGTGGCCCTGGGATCTTACTCTATGAGCAGAAGCCTCACCTGTGTGCTTAGTGCGAGTTTCTTAACGTTCTCGATAGCGTAAAAGTTAACTCATATTTGTATGGAATGGGATCGGTTGCGTACGTTTGCCGCTAGGGGCGCTGTTCCAACTGCATACAAAATTGGGATAACTTTTACGCTATCGAGAACGTTAAAAAAACTCTCACTAACCACACCGATAATTTGCATGTATCGCAACCTAACCATCGAGACGAACGTGCTATTCAGTCTGTCAATTTCTATCGAGCTATGTAGTCTTGTAATGGTTTCAATGTACTATTTATATTAACATGGACAATGTTTCAATTGATTATAAGTTAAATTGTAACAAAACGTTAAAAATAACTATAGTAATATTTAATTATGTAAGGGATATAAAATTGTAGATCGAATGGGAATGAAAACGTTGACTACAAACACGCTACTTGTTAAAAGTAAAAGTGATGAGAGGGAAAGAGAGCTATGATGCACCTATTAAATTTGTTCAACTATATAAATAGACATGTCCAAATGTTACAATAGTAATTGTAAGACACGATCCAATAAAATCACTAGAACAGCAAATATACTTGAAAAAATAATAGTGATTAAAATAGTTAATTGAAGATTAAAACCCTAAATTTAAAATGCATTTAATTTTTATCAATACACAAAATATTATTTTAATAACCTAAAAGTGAATGTTATTATCCGCAACACGCTTCGTCAGATTACAGAAATAGAGTTATCAGCAACATGCTTCGTCAAAAAGTACAACACTTATTTTTAGCTACACGCGTTGTCAACCCTAAATTATTCTACCGAAACACTCTCAACATCGTTATTATTGGTCGATTCCAGGAGACCTGTTCGAGAAGTTGGAGGATGAAGACGAGCAGGGCTGGTGCAAGGGACGCAAGGACGGGCGCGTGGGGCTCTACCCGGCCAACTACGTGGAGCCCGTGGGCCACTAGCGCCGCTGCCCGCACGAGTCCCAGCACGACTGAATATATTATCTAAATATTATAAATATATCAGAATTTTCATCAACATCGTAAACTGAATTACTTGTAGATTTTTTTTAAGAGAAAATCTTCAATTGGTATCGTTTACATTAAATTTTATTTATATTTATCGAGAACAGCGCGTCGTATTGTCTATTATTATTCATAGCAACATTTGGATTCACATTCATACATACATACACGAGTACATAATTAATTTATTAGCGAGTCGCGAATTAGTCATTAGAGTACAGGAGGACATTTGTATGAGCAGTCTAGTACGAGCGACTCTACGCTTCGTCGAATCATATATCATCCATTTGTGATATATTTTAAATGTAAATGTGCAGCGAAATATTTCTATAAAATTTACCGATCGATAAAAAAAAAACAAAATGTTTCTGTACACGATATTCCTCGCTATTGTAGGATATTTATACAATTTTCAATAATTTTTAGTGACGTGCCGTATTCTTGTAGTGTGTTATATCGATGTGGTTTGAGTAGATTCAAATCGATGATGCGTATAAAATGAAATATGTGAAATAATTTTTTAAGATAGCGAAGCTGTTTAATTGGCTTCGTTTTCGATTTATGAATAATTAATTGACTTGGAACGTATATTTTTGGATAAAAATTGTTAGCTACAATTTGCACGTAAACCAAAAAAAATGTTTATTTGTGTTAGTGACATTGTATTATTGTTTCTATGAACTTTGTTAACTGAATAACATCGTCGAACAAAGCTTGAGAATAACTAGTTGGACACCGCTGCCTTTGTCGGGCGCATTCAATTTAGCTAAGCCAAAAATTTTAGGCCAATATATAAATATATCGTAATAGGCAAACCAAACGTTTAGATGGCAATGGGATACATATATATATTTTGTGATATAAGCTCCTGTCGGTGGGTGTCGTTGTCTGTAGGTGTGGTTGTGTACATACACGCTTTTAATGATGTAATACTTGTCGTGAATGTATAGAGTATTTATTTCCCATTGTATATAATGTGTAATTTATGTGAGAATTTAAATTTGGTTAATATCGATAGTGTTGATTGGAATATATTGTATTTTTTTTTTAGCTTTTTATGGACGCAACGTTATAAAGATGCGTTGTTTTAACAAAGGAAAATGTTTTAAAGCAATTTTTATTCGTGGCTCAATAGCTATCGATATAAATCAACTCTAGTATTAATATTACGATAGGGCGCATAAAACATTAATGACTGATTATTGGCCTAGTGGTTTTTGACGGCTCGATTTAAGCTTCCATTTTGGCTGCCGGTTCTCATTCTAAGGTGCTACTCCCACGTCTCCCGCACCAGCGCAGACATGTGCACTGTATCCCAACTAAATATGCCACTACCGCATTTAAGGCTACATTTGACGCAAATATGAAATTGCCAAATAGAGCATTTACGAAAAGAAGTTTTGCACGACGCAAGCGCCCTCTCGTCATTAGTTTTAAAAAATATCATTAATATATTACGAAGATGTTTACCTTTATTTTTCTTTTTCCTTTTGTACCTCGTTATATTGTTGTATTGTGATTATGACGGGGAGTCATACATAGTCACGAGGCTGAATCCGAACACCTCCTAGACTACTTGTATCGCGTTAGTAGCGACTTGTTTATATTAAATAACATTGTTATAGGTTCAGCAACCTTTTGTGAAAATTATTTGTATTATATTATTATTATCAGAGAGGTGGTTCTGGACCACTTATGTTAATATATTAATAATATTGGTAATTAAATTGTTACATATGTGATACGAGGAGTTTTATTTTCATTTTTTTATTATCGAAATTAACTACCCGCCTCTACTCCCACACATTGCATCGTCATTTAATATTTAATAACTTGAATAATATTTAAGAAAATTACTATGTTCGTTAAGTTAAACTGTTGCTTGAAAATTAACAATTGACTGCATTGGTTGCCAATGTCAAATTAAATGCCGATTAAAAAACGCATCTAGGAATATCATTAAAAGTATTCCACTGTAATTAGATATCAATTTTATATTTTGAAGGCGTATTTTCGGCAGTCGTAGGCGTCATTATTATTAAAACTAACCCGCAGATGTCCGTGACCACGAAAACAGTAAAATATTCCAAACGTAAGATAATAAATATAAAAAGGCTTTATAAACTTAGACATTAAACCATAATGAAGTTTTAAATATCATTATGATGTAATATAAAATTTACCAAACACTGACTGAAATGAAAAAGATAAGTATTTTAAACTGATTTATTAAAATATTCGCCTCGGCACGTCGTGCCGTACACTCGTCACAATACAGATTTAGCTTATACTTTCCGATATTTTGGAAAATTTCAATAAAAATCAACATAAGATTCCAAATTTCATACTAATCTCAATGTACCTATTTGAATTGCATATAATAACATAAAAATCATAAAACTTTTAAAATATGTACTGATGATGGTTACGAGCTCTGCGCTGTTAATCGGTATAATGAAAGGAAAGGAAAACTTTTCATTATTTTCGAAATTATTGTGACACTTAATACTTCAATTTTACTGAAAATCTGTTTATGTCTTACCAAACAACTTAACAAAATTACATTTACAGAGAGCCTTTTTTCCAATGTACAACAAACACTGGATCTATAAAATAAAAGATTTAATTAACATAGGTATATTTAGAAATCCAAACCCAAAATATTTTATAAATGCAGAATTACGAATACAATATTTCAATTATGTATTGCATCACACTGTATTATTTTGTTTTGTTAAAAACACAATTAATAGTATATTTTTAGAAAACTCAGAATATAAAATAACTTGTATTTACACAACAGACTGAACAACTAAAGAATTTAATTTAAAAAAACGACGAATCATATCGTACAATTTAACAAGCATTCACAAAGTAATTTCCGTTAGTTTAATTCTGAATTAAACGAAACATATTGGTGTTAACTACAGAACAAAAAATATATATTTACAGAACAAATGAGTATATAACTCAAGCGGCGGCTCGGGGTGCTCCTTGTGATCTGCCAAGTTCTTATTTATTAAATCAATATTAGAGTTCAGTTAGTTCGTAACTTGACGAGTTAGCACTCGCGCGTCACACGCTCGTTCTAATAATCTAAAATGGTTTCACTAATGAGATTCACAATGTCATCTTAATATAAAACGTTAATAATAAATTTAACACAATAACGTCATAACAGAACAAGAAGTACACATTTTAGAGGACATTTTAATTGTTTATTCATTAAAGTGGTCAGGCAGTTCAATCTGCTGATGAGAACCAATCTTCAAATCGTACTAACTCAACTATGAAACATATTATATTAAATGAGAATCATAAAACAAAGTGGAAAATCTTTACATAACAATAATTAAATTATTTACAATACATTAAACGTAACAGAACTTTAACTATATATATATAATGTAGTTGAAGCGTCACTACAGTCTACGGCGTACAGGTACGGGACACACAAACAGACATACAGATGTGAACAGAAATATCGATAACAAAGCGCATTGTCAACTTAACCAATCACATTACAACACAATCTGTAACAAACGAATGTCCCATCTCAACTGGGCCTAGTTCAAGTTAGAACATGTTGTTTTATGTATGTATTGAAAAATAAAATAGACGTCAAAATATAATTGTGACAAATTCCTTAACAATTCCTTTAGTGTGTTATTGGTTGGTACATGCGCTGTACACTCGCAAAATGTTCAAGCAGTCATAAACACTACAGTCAGTCGCGGCACACGATACACGAAGCATTTACAACATCCATTAATATATTATGTTCAAGCCTATATATAATTTCAATAGTTTTATTTATTTATTGCGGCGTAAGGTGCTAGACGTGCAGTCGACTGAGCGAGCAGTGTGCTTAATGCGAGTTTTTTAACGTTCTCGATCGCGTAAAAGTTAACTCATATTTGTATGTAATGGGATCGTTTGCCTACGTTCGCCGCTAGAGGCGCTGTTCCAATTGCTTACAAATTTGGCTTAACTTTTACGCTATCGAGAACGTTAAGAAACTCGCACTGAGCACACTGTGCTTAGTTTGAAACGCGAGACCAAAGTTTTATCTCTTTACCAATAACGACTGTCCTCACCTTCAAAGCGAACCGCGTTATGACTACGACTCGTAGCCTACGAGTTAGAAACGGGCAGGTCTCGCAATACTCTCTAAAAACAACTTATAATTTTATAAACAACTATCGTCTCTACAGTAAAGAAAGAATATATTTTTTTCGTTACAATAGGATATGTCTTCAAATTTAGTTAGTTTGCACTTCAAACCTTTTCGGCCAAATTTATTTACGGGATTGACCGCAGCGCAGGAATGGTATCGCGAGAAATTGTATATTTTATTTATTTTTAAACTGTAAAATCGTAGACGCCATTTTGGACACATTTAATTACACGAAATGGCCGTCAAACGTTAAACATTTATAGTTCTTATTTTAAATGTATATGTACTTTGTAAAATATTGAATTATTTTAATTAAACATCAATATAAAAAAATGGATTAAACTAATTGAAAGCGTTATGTCGATAATTATGTTATCGTATCCCATGGGTCGCATCATCATACATCAACTATAAGTGTCACCGTCTTAAAACATTTGAACGTGGGAAACTGTAAATTATTGAAAATTCGAAAGATCAGGAATAATATAATGACAACAAATAAACGCGACATTATACCATAGCAGTAGTTTTAATAACGTGAACTATACGTATGACCGCCATCACACCTTATTACATTCCATTAAACATATTAGGACGGTTGCGCATCGATATAAATAATTCAGAATAAAGTTTTGTTGTCCTTTTAGTTGTTTTTATTTTAATTTAGTTTATCATTGAGCCCAGTCCGTATCGATCGACAATTAAAATATATTAAAAATATAATCTATCGTCACGTGTTCACTGCAGACAAGCTTGTAGCTTCTCGATCCACTCCTGCGCGGCGTTGGCGTCGCTCGCGCAGAAATTGTACGTTCGTCGACTTGTGCGTAACTGGAACAAAACGATAACATATTCAATAAATTTAGACATTGACACTGTTATCATTATCAATATTTGGAGCTATTACTCCAATATCATCAATATAATCAATTGTAACGGACGTGACGTCAGCTGTCATGCCCTGCCGCCAGCCAAGCCGCCAAGCCATATTAACACGCCCCCTTCCGCCACAGCCACCGCCGCCGCCGCCAGCCAAAGCCAACGAAGGGGGGATAGTGTTAATAAAACAAGCCGTGCCAGCCATTTCTAGCTGCTTTCTGCATTCTCGCACAAATAAAAGAACTTGTCGTTACGCTGCTGGTTTTTATTGTCACATCATTTGCAACACAATATTTGGTGTTATTACTCCAAATATTGGTGTGATGACAATGTGTGTTAATGTAATGTAACTAATATTTTAGTAGTTCTATTTTTCCAACTGGCAAAGGTATGTTATTATATAGCGTAATTTTTCACATTTTTTTAATATGAAAAAATGATAATATGAACTGAAATTAAATGAAGGTGATTAATTTGGAACATTAATCAACTGACATGAAATTAAATGAAATGAGATGACTTCGCTCCTTGTGTTCCCGCCAAAAAACCCAATAATTTCTACATTAACAGGCAATGAAAACAGTAACCCATACAGCCAAAACTTTTTTAATTGATACCGAAATCATGTTTTTACATGAAAAGTGACCATTAAAGTATTAAGAAAGTTGAAGTATTAAAAATTTTATTGTAGTGAAATAAATTGTCAACAAAATGGTAGTAGTAATTCAAATAACTTTTTGTAAGAAGCCGCGAAGCCCCCATTAGGTAATTTCCCTTACGTTATTAAATATCAAGAAAGATTTTAGAAATAAATTGACAAAATAATAAAGCTGAATTTTCTAGTTCACACTCACGTCAAAGAATGATCTGTCATCACATTTCTTGGGCGGTCCGGGAGCCGGAGTGGCCTGCGTCACTGCTATCACTTCCGCTAAATCTGCAATGTGAATTTTGTGTTTTTGATAAGTATTTTCAATAATGCTGCTTTAATGAAGTAATTCTTGGGCAAATTAAAACGAACATTCAATTACTATTTTTATGAAAACGTACTGATTTTTATTTAATATGCCTTTATGAAATTCTATCTTAATATATATAAATCTCGTGTCACAATGTTTGTCCTCAATGGACTCCTAAACCACTTAACCGATTATAATAAAATTCGCACACCATGTGCAGTTCGATCCAACTTGAGAGATAGGATGGTTTTTATTTCGATGAATGGTCGCAATATTTATTAATTAACAATAAAATGATTTCTTATGTTGATTTTTGTTATTAATTGTAAGTTTCATAAGTCTAAAAGAGATGGCGCCTTAAATCAGTTTTTACAGACAATTGTTATACTGTGACTTTAATATCTCATAGATGGCGCTGTGCTAAAAATACCAACGTTTCACATAAGCTACAATTTAATGGCATAAGCACCACGTGTTTCCGAGACTAAAGTATAAGTGAAATTTATTTCGTAGTAAACGCAATACAGTGAAATCCATTTTTACAGACAATTGTTATACTGTGACTTTAATATCTCATAGATGGCGCTGTGCTAAAAATACCAACGTTTCACATAAGCTACAATTTAATGGCATAAGCACCACGTGTTTCCGAGGCTAAAGTATAAGTGAAATTTATTTCGTAGTAAACGCAATACAGTGAAATCCAATTGTTCTTACGTTGTCAATTTTTGGTATTAGCATAGGCGGCCGCGAGTTATTTAGAAACAAAAACCTAAGCCACAGCCACAGCAACGTGTGGCCGGGTCCGCTAGTAATTATATATTTTTTAACATCTAGCTAAATATCAAGCACGACGTATGAGGTCATATGTTGCTAAACATTGTCTGTTCTATGTTTAGCTCATCGTTTATTTTAGCCCCAAATGACGTCACACGTGATGAAGTTCCATAGAAGCCAATTTTGTAAAGCTTGTGCTTTTATGACCGGCTCTCTATTCAATTAGGGTAAAAATATAAAGATTACCAATGAATCCTTTACAGTGCGAGTCTTCCATCGCATCGTAGTATCGTAGCTGATGTTTTATCGAGTCCAACACGAACCATCTGTTCATTTAAAATACAGAAAATTTGTCATACTGTTCTATTTATAAGCCATATAGTGTAAAAGTTTTATTGTAAGTACTCCATAATAACTTAATTGAGCTCTCTTGAAAGTTTAATGAAACAAAAATGCTTGCACTGCTTTTTAGGAAATCTATTGTAACAGCTGGGTTAATTATCTTGACAGAACAAAGACTGGGTTATGAAATCAAATAATGGCCACAAACAACCTCTTAATTCAAAGATAGAATTCAAATTGACCTTGGTAAAGCGGTCTATATAGTGTTAAAGATACTAGTTGACTCTATCGAGAAAAACTTGCCTTTGTTTCCATCCCTTGAGTAGAGCGCCTCGCTTGTAGAGATGCCCTTCGTGCGTTCTGTTCTCAGCGACGTTCGACGAGAACTGTTCATAGTATTGTTGAGAGGAAGACTGTAGCGTGCCGACACCTGAACGAGACAAACATATTATTAGAGTCAGCTTTAAAAAACAAAATAAACTCTACATTTAGTTCTTCCCAAGTTCTTGCTGGTGTTGAGTAGTGATTTGAGTTTCTTGTCGGATCTCGTGTGGGGCGCGATTCCGATCCGGTGGTAGATTCAGCGAAGCACAGCTATTGCTGGAGCTAGTGGTAGCAAGTTCTCTCAGATAGAGCACTTGAGCTCACCTACCCGTCCGGACGTAGCTGGAATAGCCCTTAGTCTACCAACTCATAGGTTGAGAAAAAACCATAATACCAATCTTGAGACATGTGGTAATCTATCTTGCCGCATTTGTATTACGTAAACAAAGATATACCAGCTTCACGATTCACGCCTCGGGCGCTTTAACACTGTTCAATACCGTTCATTTTGGTAAATCAACAAATACATTCAATATGTCATAATTATTGTGACAAATTTGAGAGATAAAAGCATTTGAAGTTTTTAGTAGGGATTGGGAAGGGATGCTCTGTCTCTTTCTCGCGGTGATGCGTCTCTTTTTTTTCCTACCTATGGGAGGTTTGGGAGACTATTTCAGCTTCGCCCTAACATGTAGATGAGCTCACGGGGCTCTAGCAAGAGCCGTGCTTCGCAGATCGGTAACGCGATCCACTGAGAAGATCCGGCGAGAAACTCAGTGGGCTGTGTCTGTGGGTATGCGTCTCTGTTAGCACTGAATGTATACAGAGTACAAGGTATGAGTGAGCGTCGTACTGTCGTGCAGGGCGGGGCGCAGGTCGCGGTCGGGGGGTGCGGGCGCCTTGTACTTGGTGCAGGGCGGCGCGAACGTCTCCGCGCATCGCTCGTGACACGCGGCGCCGCAGTCCACGCAACGAACGCCCGTCTGGAAACAATAAATAATATGAGTTTTGATACGAATCGTTCTAATAGTATTAAATGCTAATAAACTAAATGTACTTTCGGTATTTGATCACCCATAGGGTATTTTTGTTATTTTAATTTTTTATTGTTTATATTGGTGGACGAGCTCACAGCCACCTGTAGTAAGTGGTTACTAGAGTCCATAGATATCTACAACGTAAATGCGCCATCCACTTTGAGATATAAGTTCCAAGGTTTCAGTATAGTTACAACGGCTGCCCCAACCTTCAAGCCGAAACGCATTACTGCCTCACGGCAGAAATAGACGGGGTGGTGGTACCTACCCGTGCGGACTCACAAGAAGTCCTACTACCCGTAAGGAATCATCCAATTGCGCACGAGTAACTTCAACAAAATCATTTTAGATGTAGTCACCACAGCAAATCATAATTCGCTTGTAAATACATGCAGTAAAGGTTTTTTTTTAATTGGTGGAAGCAATTATTTTATTCGTCAATTATACCGCTGCACGGCAGAAATAGGCTGGGTGGTGGTACCTACCCGTGCGGATTCACAAGAGGTCTTACCACCAGTAAAATAAAATCTTCAACAATAAGTAATGTTCGTTAGTACGTTGTGGTCGGGTGGTTACCTTGAGCGGTCCCCAGAGCAGGTGGTGGCAGTGGTCGCAGCGCGCGGGCGCGGCGGCGGCGGCGGGCAGGAAGCGGTGCGCGGGGTCGGGGGGCGGCGCGGCGGCGAGGCGGCCCCGCACCAGCACCTCCAGCGTGTCCCGCCGGTGCGCACACGCGGCCGCCGCGCGCGCCGCCGACCCGCACACGGATCCCGCGCGCTGCACATAGCCATATTATATGAAATATTTTTTACATTACATGTATATGTTACGGTAAAAGTAGATATTACGGCAAATGTACACATTTTCCAGTAAATGTGCGCATTTGCCTCCTCGTTTGGGTAATGTGCATTCAACTAACATTTACAAATTCAAAGAATGGAAATGTACATTGAATTCACATTGACCATGTCGTTTTGGTAAATGTGAGCATGGCATACAAAATACTAAATCGCAAATGTTAGTAATGTGGTGTACGCACCACTACAACCTGAAAAGTATGTTTTGTTTGTCATTTACATTTTTGTAATTAAAATAATTTTCGTTATTAAAGCCTTTTGTACCTATTATGTTTATTTAAATAAATATTTTCTACTGCAACAACATTATTAAGTTATTTGTATTCCAACTTTTCTTAAAACATGAAGGTAAGAGTATACATTTACCAAAACGTGAAGGCAAGAGTAAATACACATTTGCCGGAAAATGTACATATACATTATATTCAGTTCACATATACCTAACTTTTTGGCAAATGTGCACATTTACCGGTAAAAGTGTACATTTCCCAAGAGTGTACATTTACCGTAACATATACACCAACTATACTGTCAAATATTACTTCCAGTTGTGTAGGTAAGTGGCATATGTTAAATTCTCATATTGAAATAATGATATATAAACATTTTTAAGTATCAAACTAAATACTCAATAAAGATTTTTTTTTAAATACTTTTCGCTCACAAACTAATAATATGGTAAATTAACATCCAGTAAATAATTTTCATGTTTCAAAATTGATGACAGCATCAGCATCCTATGATGCTTATGGGCTCCAGTAACCGCTTGACATCGACTGGGCTGTAAGTTCGTTCATTTACAGTTCAAATACCTGTAGCTCCACAGTGTTGGGTAGTTCGAGCTGATCCCATCTGACCTTCCACTTCTGAGGTAGGTGACCCAGCTCCAGCTCCAGCTGCCGGATCCTCTCCAGCAGACCGGTGAACGAGTCCGGCATGCAACGACTTATACTGTCGTACCTGAGCGAATAACATTCTTAAAGACGAGATCCATTAACTGTTAAGACAAGTAACAAAATATGACGACGCTTGTAACTGAAAGTAAGTGTTATACTTTTTGACGAAGCATGTTGCTGATAACTTTATTTCTGTAATCTGACGAAGCGTGTTGCGGATAATAAAATGCACTTTTTAAAAAAAGAAAAAGAATTATATTTCGTTTGTTTTTGTTAAGAGTTATTCATAAATAATATATGTAATATGAGTCGTCTATTATCAAAGGTGGCAATCTGTGCATTTGGACAAAAAAATGTTATTGATATGTCAATACAGATTGATTTGAATATAATCGTCTCCTTCAAAGAATACGGTTCAAAACCTGCTTTAAATAAAGGTTAATAGTTAACCTGTTATTTATCTAAGATGTCGTTCCGAAGAGTTTTGTGACTGCCAATGGAATACAAAGTCAATAATTCGTTTTTCTGATTTACCAATAATTCTCCAAAAGTCAGATTGCCGGCTTTGATAATAGTCGACTCATATATGGGTCGGCGGCAATTTAAGGTTAATGTGTGTCAACCTTTATCATTTTAATGAGATTAACAAAGATGTTAATTTGTAGGAGCAATGAATTGTAACCGCTTCGAATACCGCAGTGTCATAGAATAGAAACAAGTACTGTCGGCACTTTATAAGCTTCAACGAAGAACTAGTTTATTGATGGACAGTTCCAATCGGTTGCGCCAGTTCACACTTAGCAGTGTGTGTGTGATAAACAATTTCTTTTTTAATCTATGGGTGCTTTAATAATTTTTAATAATATTTTTTCTCGTAAACCAGACACATTTAGACGATGAGCAAACTGAAATAATATACGAGCTAAAGCTGAAATAATATTTATTGGCTAAAACCAACTACAGCAAAAATACTTGAGATAACATTTTCGTGAATAATTTACCCAGCAGTGACGACCCTCCTCTGCGGTTGTTTCACGTCCTGTTCGCAGGACGACAACACTTCCAAGTCGTAGGGGGCTCCGTGGGACAGTTCCTCGCTAGTGTAGTAGCCCCACACTTCAAATGCACATATAGACGAAACAGGACGAAGGACCTGACAAAATATTTTTCAATTCACTCCAGAGGCTCATGAGTTAATATGTTTCTCCAAATTTACTGATGTGTTCACTGTAAGGAGAGCTTATTATCAGGAAAGCGATTATCCGACTTATAGACACCATGGTGTTACTGGCCATCTTAAACCTTATGTAAATTGAAGTCTTTATTAGATTGGTATAATAATTGTTCTACAATTTTGACTGAAATGAACGATTTTACTCAATATTCAAATATCTAATTGGTAACTTAAGAGTTTATAAATTTCAATATAAGTATTGCATCATCTTTACTGTACGCAGAACCGTAATGTACTCATAGATTTCGACAACACATTTTGCTTTATGTTTCCTGATAATAATTTATAATTATCTACGCAACTCACAGTAAAGGCACGCGTCCATTGGCCCGCGCCGGACGCACCGTGCGTAACGGGTTATATTTTGCTTTTTTTAAAGGGTTTTATGACCTGGCAACTAAGACCTTTAAGTCATGTCTTAGTTTAATTTATATTCTTAATTTTTATAAGAAATGATCATATAGAGACCAATGATTTATTTTTTATTGCCTTTGTAGGCAGACGAGCATACGGCCCACCTGATGGTAAGTGGTTACCGTCGCCCATGGACTTCAGCAATGCTAGGGGCAAAACCAAGCCGCTGCCTACCGTTGCCGTGCGGTGCATCTTACGCGGGCCAATGGACGCGTCACTTAAGATAGTAAGCAGATAGTTACGGGATTGTCGAGGTCGGGCGTGTAGAGGAAGTTGTAGAAGACGGGCGACTTCTGGTGCTGCTTGTCGATGTAGTCGAACAGCGAGTGGCCGAGCGGCGGCCCGCGCCCCCCGCCTGCCTCCTCCTCCACCCCCGCGCCCGTCTCCACGCCCTGCCGCAATCAGTACATACCACAATTATAACTTTAAAACAGCAATAACATAAAACACAATCCGTACTACGGACTAGACATTGCCGGATGTAATTTAATATAGAAATGCAATAGCAACCAAATGTTACAGTGTTAATACCACCAGTAAATGCCGATTGGCGATCGCAGCACGCTGTCACTATAGTTTTTTTTAAGGATTGAAGTATTACTGGTGGCCTTTCCAGTTTCACCAGGACAGGTGGGTGAGCAAAGGCTCAGCCAGGAGGGGTGGGATTTGCTAACAGCTGCCCCAGCGCCTCCGAAGGAGACCTGACAACTCGAGAGCAGCTGCTTCGCGAATGAACTCTTTGTCGAGTACGACGAGTATGGTTACCGGGGTGATGATAGTCCAATCACCTTACCGTTAAATATATGTGCGTGTGCCGACGCATACGGGGCTTTATACAGCAAGTATTGGACAGTGTGTTAATAGCGAGCAAGTGTTTCACTCGCATGTCCCTCGTATCTAACACTTACCTTACCAGATAAACCTTAAACTATCAAAAGATAACATAAAACCTTGAGTTACCAAATTTAAATTTAGTTTCTGTTCATTTTTCCTACACGAAAAAGGCAACGTGAACAATGAGGTTGCATGCGCGGCACTCACGAGTCGGTTGGTGTCGGCGCGCTTGTCGTCGGCCGCGGTGATGCCGAGCTCCGCGCGCTGCGCCTCGCTGTCCAGCAGGAAGGTCCGGAAGCGGCAGGACACGCTGTGGTACGCGACGAACCGCAGGTAGTACTCGTTGAACTCGAACGCCAGCGGGAACTGTTTCTGTAGCTGCGGACGAGTTACTGCACGTGTTACTTTCGAAGTCGCCGCGGCCTAAAGGATAAGACGTCCGGTGCATTCGCATCGATCGAGCGATGCATCGGCGTTCGAATCCCGCAGGCGGGTACAAATTTTTCTAATGAAATACGTAATTAACAAATATTCACGATTGACTTCCACGGTGAAGGAATAACATCGTGTAATCGTGTAATATATATAAAAATGAATTGCTGTTCGTTAGTCTCGCTAAAACTCGAGAACGGCTGGACCGATTTGGCTAATTTTGATCTTGAAGTATTTGTGGAAGTCCAGAAAAGGTTTAAAAGGATAAATATATGAAATAGATAAATATGAAAATGCTCGGAATTACATAAAAATAACAATTTTGTTTTTCCTTTTGATGTGTCCCCCGTCAGGCGGATTCCTTTTATTTGTTTTAAGTTTATTTTATACAAAACTTTAGGTCTTTCATTTATCGATTGAGGCACTACGAAGTCGGCAGGTCAGCTAGTCGTGTAATAAAATGAAAACCCGCAAAATTATAATTTGCGTAATTACTGGTGGTAGGACGTCTTGTGATTCCGCACGGGTTGGTACCACCACCCTGCCTATTTCTACCGTGAAGCAGTAATGCGCTTCGGTTTGAAGGGTGGGGCAGCCGTTGTAACTATACTGAGACCTTAGAACTCATATCTCAAGGTGGGTGGCGCATTTACGTGGTAGATGTCTATGGGCTCCAGTAACCACTTAACACCAGGTTGTGAGTTCGTCCACCCAGCTATTCGTGAAAATTCGCAGAAAAAAAACTTCCAGCTATTCGTGTTACAAAAAGTCAGTGGCCAGTCTGCTCACCTGATGTACAGCATCCAAGAACATGAGGAATGTGGGTGTGAAGCCTTGTTGCGGTGTGGCTCCGATGTTACACCGCTGCTGGAACTTGTGCCCGAGGGCCAGCCACTCCTTCTCGACGATGATCCGGAACCCTTCCAGCGTCCTGTAGTAGGGCTCCAGGCAGATCTGAGCTAACGATGATATCTGAAACGAAAAAGTGTTGATAAAGAAAAATGAAATTGTTCATCACTTTCACGGACCGCTTTCGACCGCCAACAACTAGATAAGCATAGTAAACGTTCACGGACCGCGATGTTTTCGAAATATTAAAAATAACGGTATTAAGTCATCCAATTCTGATAATTATCAAAACAAACTTGGTATTACATAATAAATAATAAAAGTCGTACCATGTGACTATATAAGAGAATACAGATATATAACCTTTTTGTTTAAGCTCATCGATAAGTTTACACCAGCAAAACGTAAATTGTATTTGTAACTGTATGCTTAGGGCGAGTTTTTTAACGTTCTCGATAGCGTAAAAGTTAACTGTTGGAACAGCGCCCCTAGCGGCAAACGTAGGCATACGTTTCAACTCCATACAAATATGAGTTAACTTTTACGCTATTGTGAACGTTAAAAAACTCGCACTAAGCACACTGAATGCCAAAACGGTAAGATTATTATATACTACCTGTGCAGTGACATCCCATNTGCTTAGGGCGAGTTTTTTAACGTTCTCGATAGCGTAAAAGTTAACTGTTGGAACAGCGCCCCTAGCGGCAAACGTAGGCATACGTTTCAACTCCATACAAATATGAGTTAACTTTTACGCTATTGTGAACGTTAAAAAACTCGCACTAAGCACACTGAATGCCAAAACGGTAAGATTATTATATACTACCTGTGCAGTGACATCCCATCCGTCTTCCAGGGATAGCAGCACAGATGAACCTTGCACATCTAACAAGTCCACCACAGCACCAGACAGTTGAAACAATTGTCGGAGCTGCCACAACCAGCCAGACTCTTCCACTTGTCTATAATGAAAAAAAATTTATTAACGTTTCATTGTTAAAAAAAATTTAGAAGCATTATCAACTTTTTTTTTTACTCGGCTTACTGCCTTTTACACAAGCAGTCTTTGGGCTACTCATACCCAAAAAGCAGATAATACCCTGAAAATATAATATAATAATATCTTCAGGGCGTTGTTGAGACTTCTGCCCTATTGTAGTGCATCAGGCATGTTCGCCGATGCACACACTGATAACTATTTCGCGATAATGCGTAAAAAGGTGGTATTCATTATTCGAAGAATAGGTGGAAGCACCAACAACGTCTTGAGGCTTTTAGCAGAAAGACTGGATGGCCTGACCCTGGGACGCAGTTGATAGATTTATTTAAATACTAACATAGTTCTTAATTTTTTTGTAATACTAACACACTATGGTGTCTTGAAATAAAAGATTTTCATTTATTTTATTGTTGTGCTTCGAAATATACACGTAATGTAAATTGTATTCAATGCTACCACCGCGATTTTAAAGATTTGGCTTAAAAGACTAGAATCCAGGCCATTTATTTAAATACAAAAATTAAAAAAGAAAACAATACCTGAGGAAGGTGGTGGGGTCGAGTGCGGGCGCGGAGGGCACGGCGCACCGCATGAGCTTCTTGAAGGCGTGTCGCGTGTGTCGCGTCTCCGGGTAGTCGGCCGGCACCGCCTCCGCGCCCGCCGCGCACCCCGCGCCCGCCCCCTTCTCGCCCACCACGTACAGCGCCGCGCGCCGCGTCACGCCGCCCTCGGCCGACACTACGCACGCAAACACTTTTTTTATTGCTTAGTTGGGTTGCGAGCTCATAGCCCATAGACATCTACAATGCAAATGCGCCACCCACCTTGAGATATAAGTTCTAAGTTCTCAGTATAGTTACAACGGCTGCCCCAACCTTCAAACCGAAACGCATTACTGCTTCACGGCAGAAATAGGCTAGGTGGTGGTATTTACCCGTGCGGACTCACAAGAGGTCCGACCACCAGTGATTACGAAAATTATAATTTTGCGGGTTTCATTTTTATTACACAATGTTATTCCTTCCATGGAAGTCAATCGTGAACAATTGTTAAGTACGTATTTCATTAGAAAAACTGATAAAACGGGATTCGAACACCGTTGCATCGCTACATACGAATGCACCGGACGTCTTATCCTTTAGGCCACGATGACTTCAAGCACTAAACAAGCCCGCTTGACGTTCCCAGAGCACGGTATACTCACTGGAGTCGAGGTCCGCCGTGGAGAGTCTCTGTCTGGGCGCGTACAGCTCGAGGTGCGAGGGTTGTCTCCGGTCCTTGAGCGAGCCCCAGCGACCGAAGGCTCGGCCTCCGCTGGTGCCGCCGCCCTTCCCTCCGCTGTTACGTAGCACGCTACAAACATGCACACACCGCTCTATGAGTTCATTGCTTGTAAAGCCTACCATCATCTACAAGTCTGTTTCAAATACCATTTTACTGTGTTTTCGATTTTCTGGGATTTATGAGGTGTTTCAATTTTAAGCATTCAAAAGGAAACTACAAGCAACGGCGGACTGGCATTAGCCGATGACCATACGAATAGTAAATATTTCAAACCAAACCAAATTAGGCACAACAAAGTTTTGGAATTTCTGTAACTTATACAAAAGTAATACGTTCTTTTCTGTGCCCTTTCAAATAAGGTTAACATTCATTTAAAACATTCAATACGATAAGAAAAAATAGAGGAAATATTGTATGGCCCTCGGCTCAGTTAGGTGCGCTACCTACTGTGGCACCGAGTCAATTATAAATAAGGAGCCTGTGTCATATATGTTAAGTCCAAGTACCTCAGGGTCCCGGCGGCCTTGGTCAACAAAGGCGTGTGGGTAGGCTGCTGTTCATCGCAGCACAACAGGAGCGAGTCCAAGCTCAGGTTGGAGTCCTCGAGGTCGCCTCGCGACGCCGGAGTGCACGCTACTAGGGTTGCTATGTACCGCTCCTGTCAAACACAAAACGTTAATAGAATAATATACCTTAGTTAAATTACTTATATGAGGGTAGATTACGTTTTGTATACAGTATATAAGGACGAAAACTGTAAAGTATTCGAAACATTGAAAATAGTATAATGAAAATAAAAAACGCTAGATTAAATCGTAAATATGGATTTCATTACATATATATATGATTAGATCTAGACCTGTTCTAAGCTGGATGTAGTCTCCGTTCCACTTTGGGTAGTACCCTGGGTTTGATGGGTAGCCTTCAGCATACCCATCACTCCTTTGTGATGTGACGCCGAAGACCTGACAATCAATTACACAATTAGACCATAGTTTTATTATCGAATTGAAGTCACGAAAATTCAATTATTATTCAATAAAAAAATTACTATTGCATTAAAAAGTCTAGGATTTTAAGTGATTACTATATTTATATGTAGTTTAATTCTTTCTTCTATACTAATATATAAATCTACTGTTCACCCTGTTTTTTCCAACTTCTAAAACCGTCACTAGAGAGCGCTGTAATACGCAAATCCGTTGTCATGATACCCTTGTCATAAGTGACACTGTATCCTAGATTATTGATTTTTTATTGAATATACAAGTTTTTCTAATCCAAGTTTATTTTCATAATCATCCCTCGGAAAGTCGAACATCTACAGTGGTTTTTACGGATGTTTCGTTATACTACTGAACCATGCATCCGATTCACTTGAAACTTGGTATCCATGTAGAAAATACTTATACTTAATGGATACGCTAATATTTATATGAGTGTTGGACTCCCTACACTAGTTGCGGGGGCGTTAATGATGAGAATGTTTGTGGGGGTGAGAAATAATAATGTTAATTTTAAATGCCCATTGAAGCGGACGGGTAAGGCTAGTTATAACATAAATCTGATTGTCAAATCAACAATCCCGACAGCAACGAGCAGCGAATTACGGATGCGCCCGCACCTGGCGAGCAGCGCGTGCGTGCGCGGGTGTCTCCACGTGACGAGCGGCAGGCGGCCCTGCCGGTAGCAGCGCGCCACGCGCCGCAGCGACTCGTCGCCGATGCTCTCCGGGACCGGGATCACTGCCGGGTAACTGCACAATCATTCACGATTATTATATATCTTCTATGAAAAAAAAATTAATTGCTGTTCGTTAGTCTCGCTAAAACTCGAGAACGACTGGACCGATTTGGCTAATTTTGGTCTTGAATTATTCGTGGTCCAGAGAAGGTTTAAAAGGTAGATAAATATGGAAATGTTCGGAATTAAATGAAAATAACAATTTTGTTTTTCCTTTGATGTGTCCCCCATCGGACGGATTCCTTTTGTTTGTTTCAAGTTTATTTTATACAAAAGTTTAGGTATTTTATTTATCGATTGAGGCGCTACGAAGTCTGCCGGGTCACTTGGTCTTCTATGAAAAAAATGTATGCGTTCCTAAATCATTCATCCGGATCTAAAGACATTTAGTTTAGTTATGGTTGGTATATAGGTCATAGTACCGTCAACGGACGACAGATGGCGCAGGAATAGTTCCAAGAAATCCATGTTTTTTATATACANAAGTTTAGGTATTTTATTTATCGATTGAGGCGCTACGAAGTCTGCCGGGTCACTTGGTCTTCTATGAAAAAAATGTATGCGTTCCTAAATCATTCATCCGGATCTAAAGACATTTAGTTTAGTTATGGTTGGTATATAGGTCATAGTACCGTCAACGGACGACAGATGGCGCAGGAATAGTTCCAAGAAATCCATGTTTGTTATATACAATTATAAACGACAATGTATTTGTGCTTATGTAAAGATTATTCTTCTAGTCTATTGTTGAAGGCTGAAGGCTGCAACCTCCAACTCGTGGAGAGCTGTACGCCATTGTAAGACCGACTAGTGTCGTTAAAACAGCAAGACTGTTTCTTCAGTGCTTTTGCCGTTTGTATTTATATTGTACTAATATCGTAACCTTAAACTTTTCAAGGTCGCTCTGTTCCTTTACAAAGTATTGAAGCATAGGTGACAAACTATAATATCAAATAGCCTATACGAAAACTCAGAGATTGTTAAAGTTAATAGCAGAAAGCACTAAGATTCCCACTAACCTTCTACAAAGAGTGTACACAGCGTTAGCATGCGCGAGTCTGAAGGGTGGTGAGGCCAATCCCAGTCTGGCCCAATCTTTAGCGTAGATACGTTCCCGAACCCTCTCCAGCGTCCGGGCTGCGGGAGCTTCCGTCGGCTCACTGCTACCGAGATCTAACTCTTCCACTGTAGACAATGGCAAGGTAATTATTATCCATCCATCTACTGATGGTAGGACCTCTTGTGAGTTCGCAAGGGTAGGTACCACCACCTAGAACCACCAGTCTAGAACTTATATCTCAAGGTGGGTGGCGCATTTACGTTGTAGATGTGTTAAGATGGCTCCAGTAGCCACTTAACACCAGGTGGGCTGTGAGCTCGTCCAACCATCTAAGAAAAAAAAAACACAAACATCCAGTTATTTTTACAATTAGTTTTTGGAGTTGAATACACTTACAAGATAGAGTGTCAGCGGATAACGAAGACATGAGTGGGGGGGAGGTGAGTGACCTCGCGTCCGCAGAGGGCAGCACGTACTTCTGCCGTTTCGAAGGCTTGGGTTTCAAGCCGGCCTTCCTTGCTGTCTTCAATAAGGTCTTCTTCGCGAAACCTCTGCATTTTAAAGATTTAACTTAAACTTTTCGATTACATTTTTTATTATTAATCTGCAAACTATACAGTGAGTATACGACGGTGTGTACTTATCTTCGAATTTCAACTTATTTCAAACAATTATACTCCTTTGGCGGGATTGAATTATTTACAAAGTCAACAAACATGGTTTTGGGGGTTTTTATTAATACGTGAAGCGGAAACTTTGTACCCCTTTTTACGGAAATTGCGCGGACGGAGGAGTATGAAATTTCTCATAGTTATAGAGAATACAGAGGAGTGCAGAATGTTAACATTTTTTTTTAATTATGCATAAAAAAGTCATTAAATCGATAAAGAAAACATTGCACACGCTACCATTTATATACATACACATATACTCTCTGTCTTGTCAAACTTTTGTTATTTTTGAAAGTCTGTGGTCAAATGAGAATGAAAAAAAAAAGAGAATGGATTAATATTGTTCGTCTTTAATATTATTAGTCTATGGTGTAGTCTTGGCGAAATCTGTGTTTGACAATTTCAGCCATAATAATGATCAAACTTATAATTTCAATAAATTATAGTCGAATTTCGACTACAGAGGGACCACTAGTATTGATAATGTAACGTTTGCAAAACAATCATGTAATCAATTGATAATAATATGATCTTACTCATAAGACAAACATTTAAAAAGCAATTGAATAATGTTTGAAGTGTGTTAGACCGTCGCTTATATATATTCAGGCTTGTAACGAGGGAGGTTTCGTAGCAACTAACTTTAAAGTATTATGTTTGCTTGGCGGTGAGATTAGTATTGATAACGTAACGTTTGCAAAACAAGCATGTTTATAATAATGATGTAGATTTGTAGATACCGTCGGTTATATATATTCAGGCTTGTAACGAGGGAGGTTTCGAGAAACAACTAACTTTAAAGTGTTGTGCTTGGCTTGGTGGTGCGCGGGCGGCGGCACGGGGCGCGGCGTCAGCGCGAAGTGCAGCAGCGGGTGCTCCGGGTGCCGCAGCCGCGCCAGCTGCTTGCGGAAGCTCTCCGTCAACTCGCTGCTCACCTCCTCGTCTAGAGCTACCTGATAGATGGGGCAAAACAGATTTTTGTTTTCATGTACATTCGGGTGTATTTACGGCGCAACGGTTAACGTTTGAAATCGTCGTGGCCTAAATGATAAAACGTCAGGTGCATTCTTATCTAGCGATGAACCGGTGTTCGAATCCCGCAGGCGAGTACAAATTTTTCTAATGAAATACGTACTTAACAAATATTCACGATCGACTTCCACGGTGAAGGAATAACATCGTGTAATAAAAATCAAACCCGCAAAATTATAATTTGCGTAATTACTGGTGGTAGGGCCTCTTGTGAGTCCGCATGGGTCGGCACCACCGCCCCGTCTATTTCTGCCGTGAAGCAGTAATGCGTTTCGGTTTGAAGGGTGGGGCAGCCGTTGTAACTATACTGAGAACTTAGAACTTATACATCAAGGTGTGTGGCGCATTTACGTTGTAGATATCTATGGGCTCCAATAACCACTTAACACCAGGTGGGCTGTGAGCTCATCAACTCATATAAGCAATTAAAATAAAAAAATGCTCTTCATTAATAACTTCTACACGACAATTACCTTAATGAGTTGGAATGTTGCGGATCTGAGCTGCAGGCCGTCTTGCAGCGATTGTTCTAGATGCGGTATGTAGTGCGTCCGTATCGCCTTCTCCCTCGTCAGCGAGCACAAAGGGAACGAACGAACTACTGTTTGCTCGCAAGCTGAAAATTTATTTTTTCTACACTGATGAATGAATGGCGGCCCTCCTTTCTGTGGACCAATATGTTGACATAATACTTTGAAATTTAATATATTTAAATTCAAGAAACGATGGAAATATTGGTAATGGGTTCCTACGTTTTTTGCTTTATGCGATAAACTTCAAAATACATTTTCGCTTTATTGTATCTGTAATATGTATGTATCTAAATAGCATTAAAAGGTTTAAATTCCTTTCTTGACCTGACATTCTATGCTACCAAATAAATTTGACGCAAGATAAATGTAGCCCATGACTTTTTTATTTTATTGCCCTTGTGGGCAGACGAGCATACGGCCCACCGTCGCCCATGGACCTCAGCAATGCCAGGGTCTGAGCTAAGCTGCTATCTACTGTTAAGTACTCTCCATAATCCTCGTTTACACGTCATGTCATGACGCTCGGGAAACACCGTAAAGGGCAGCTCATTCCAAAGCCGGATGGTAAGTGGCAAAAAAGATCACTGGAGAACGCAGGGGGCTCCTGGTAGTATGGATGAACTCCACTCCGGTGTCGGGCGGTGCGATGGTAAAAACGAGATGATGAGATCATCTCAAGTAATTCCTCAGAGCACTCCCCATAGACCATACGGTACACAACACAAAGAGAACCGAAGCTATGGAATGAGCTCCCCTCCACGGTGTTTCCCGAGCGCTATGACATGTCCTTCTTCAAACGAGGCTTGTGGAGTGTATTAAGCGGTAGGCAGCGGCTTGGCTCTGCCCCTGGCATTGCTGAAGTCCATGGGCAACGGTAACCACTCACCATCAGGTGGGCCGTATGCTAGTCTGCCTACAAGGGCAATAAAAAAAAAGTTCCAGGTGACATCTAGACCAAGTTACCGAAAGGGTCGGTGGGCGTTCCCTTGAAAATGAGTCTGTAGTTGGTGAGGAAGAGCGCGCCCTCCGCCGGCAGCAGCGAGGAGGGTCGGCCGTCGCACACCAGGTAGGCGCGCAGGGCCGGGCCCGACACCGCCTCGCCGCCCACCAGCACCGGAGACACGATGCGCGGCTGCAACATCATCATCATCATTTTCCCGGTCATCGTTCTCGTCGAACCCGTCGCTTGCGACTAAGGGCTCGGCGAGTAAATTAACCCACAGACACAGCCTACTTCCTACCCCAGTTCCCCGACCGCTGGTGTAGTTGGTGGCGCGTTACCTTCTGCACGGGGGGCAGGCGGCGGCTCTCGCGCGCCACGGCGTCCAGCGTCTCCAGGTGCATGTGCACCACGCCCGGGATCATCTGGTGCAGGCAGCGCACGTGCTCCGCCGTCACGCCACCCTCGGTGCACACCTGAAACCAACACACTAATCTTACAAGTCGGCTTTTGTTTGCATAGCCCTGCGATGTCATCTTAGATAAACAGTAAGGTCTTAAGTCCGCACTGCGATATTTTTCCGCACGTTTTTTTTTTTCGTAATTCTGTGACACATTTAATTCTATAGGAGTAGGGCGGGAAAAAAATCTGTGACTTGATGCAAATTTTATTCGCAGTGCGTACTAGGTGTAATTCCGATTGCGGAATTTAATACGCAAGAATGAAAACCTCGCGGTGAAATATCGCTGCGCGGACAGGCCCTAAGGCAGAAAATAATTCGATTTTTGCAACTCCATTAACGTTTCTTAATTTTTCTCTCGTAACGAAAATACCGCTACAAAAGATACAAACCACTCTTAATATCATTTATTTATTATTGAAACGTTTGAAACGTTTAATAAACCGCAAAACAATTTAATTTTTTTCTGCTTCTCAGTGAACGTTACAACAATCTTACAACGTTGTTACGCCGATAAGAGTAACGCCATCTATCGCCGAATAGCCGAACGTATATCGAAGGTACTAGTAAAATCAAGAAGTACAACGCCGTCTATTGTCAGATAGTAGAAACACACATCGAAGCTAATCGAATTGCCTAGAATGTACTCAACAAATCTAGAGATGTCGTATCGACTATAAAAACGTTGCAGAGATGGCACGCAGTCAATTAGTAATCGCAACTACTCGAAGAGAAACAGCGAACGGATCACCTGAAGCGAAGCGAAAGAAGTGAATTAGGAATTTTAAAGTGTCCTGTGAATACAGTTTTAAGTTGTACTTTGATGGAACATTTATTTAACCCGAACCCCAGCGCGTAACAGTGTTAAATTAATAATACGAAATACTTTTAATATTTACCTTATCAACGAATCTCGAGACCATTTTGATAACGTTATTGCCTGCCTCCCCCGGGTCGGCCTCCTCGAAGCCTGATTCGGCGTCCACGCTGTCTGATTCTGCGACACTAAAAAATACGAAATTATGACGTCACGTCATTTTTAGAATTAGCCTTAGAATTATTACCAATAACTTAATGCATTACCAATAATACAATAACTATAAATTGCAATAAATTGTTTTCATACATATTAGCACTGTAGATAAGATATCTGGAGGTTTTTTTCCTATCTAAGCTGAGAGCCTTGAAAGGCTATTTCAGCGTAACCTTAACTAGTAGGTGAGCTCACGGGGCTCAAACCTGACGACGTTGCTAACACGAACCCTAGCAAGAGCAGTGCTTCGCAGACTCTACCACCGGATCGGAAACGCGACCCACTGAGAAGATCCGGCGAGAAACTCAGTGGGCTGTGTCTGTGGGTTAATTTACTTGTCGAGCCCTTCGTCGCAAGCAACGGGTTCGACGAGAGCGATGATCAAATCTGGAGGTATTTTCTACCTGTTGGTGATACTATTGCTGGCTCTGTCGACATCGTCGCCTCGGACATCGGCTCTCCTCCCGGCGCCCTCTAGCGGCAGTAACAAGTAAACCATTCTGTTCGCGTAGTGTATCGCTTGACTGTATAAAGTGGATTCCTCGCTTGCTATTAGTTCTTTTTGTTTCTCTGAAAAAAAGAAAAATATGTTATTACCAGAATACGATTATATTGTCTTGGAAATACTTCTAATGCCGTCCACACTTTTTTACATTTCCCCAAAGAAATATATTCACACCACCACTGGAATCACTGTATTCATTAACAATGCGTTCTAAGGATTTTTGTCACTTGCGATTCAGTTGAGGTGAATCACGGTTTTCCTCAAGCGCTATGACATTTCCATCTTCCAAATATATTTTAAAAGGAGTCCTCAGAGGCTGGCAACATTTTGACTATGTCATTGAGATTCCTACTGTGCTTGAGCGACGTTAATCGCTTACCTCAAAAACAAAAACATAGTATACTTACAATAAAACGTAAATTTTGCATTACGATATTTTAAGGGTATAAATGAATTTACCTGGTGACAAACTCGGCCATAATCTCATCTGTTCGGCTGCTATCTCTAAAGCGCTCGGCTCTTGAGCTTTTAGTAAAGATATGTAATCTTCGTCGTCCCTAGAATGACAGTAAGCGACGTTAAAATAATCTGTGTAATATTATTATATTTATTTTTATTGCTTAGATGGGTGGACGAGCTGAGCACCTGCCTGGTGTTAAATGTTTACCGGTGCCCATAAACAACTACAACGTAAATGCCGCCACCTACCTTGAGGTATAAGTTCTAAGGTCTCACTTTTTTAACAGTACAACGGCTGCCCCCACCCCCCCCCCCCAAACCGAAACGCATTACTGCTTCACGGCAGAAATAAGCTGGAGGGTGGTACCTACCCGTGCAGACTCACAAGACGTCCTACCGTGAGTAATTACGCAATTTATAATTTTCCGGGTTTGATTTTTATTACATGATGTTATTCCTTCATCGTAGACGATAGTATAACGGCTGCCCCACCCTTCAAACTTATTTCTTTCTTACACTTTTTTACTAGATTATATTATACTACTTCTATATTCACTACTAATCAAACTCAAATTTATTTTCTTGAAAATATTTTGTAGACTAACAAACTCACCTTGGAGTAGGGACTCTTGGGTGATGTGTAGGACTGGGTAAGTACAACGCTTTTATGTCCTTCTGCACGTCTTGATAGAAAGCCGCCTCCCAAAACTGTTGACTCGTCCATACCGGATGTTCCTTGTAAATAAATATTTACAATTTAGCCAAAATGTATTAATATCAGAGAAACGACTTTAATCTGATATTATGAAATATTGACCCTATAATTTTTAGTACGTTTTTCTTAAGTTGACCTGTATCTGTTTATGTAACGGAAATTTTGAGTGTAATTTTCACCAACTCCAACCTTAAAAATTTATCAAAAATTCCCGATAACGATAAAATAATCTTATGGCTCTGACCAAATATTCTCTTCAGGATAGCAAGGAATGTTTTTGATTTAAGTATTTTTACTGGTGGCGTGTTGTAAGCCCACACGGGTAGGCGCGCTGCGTCTTCTTATATAGTGATCGTTGACGTCGTAGTGTGCTGATGATGCGTACTCATGGTTATCGTTGTGTGTGTGAGCGCATAACAGTGCAGCGTTGTAAGTAAAATGTAGCATTGCTATAAAAATAATAATAATCAAAATTATTTTTACCTGTATGCACATGTACGCGTACTGAATGACTCCGGTGCAGAGTTTCCTGCAGTAGGCGGTCGCGAGCGGCAACATGGCCGCCGCTATCGAGTGCTCGTCTATGGCCGTTGTCGATTGCAAGGCGCAGTTCATTAATCTGTAATATTTATCAACTGGTCATTTGACTGACTCGGTGGTGCGGTAGTTAGCGGCCCTGACTGTTGCGCCGAGGGTCGCGGGTTCGATACCCGCATCGGGCAAACATTCGTGTGATGAACAGGTTTGTTTGGTTTCGTCTGGGTGTCAATTATCTATACATATATGTATATATTTAAACGTATATAAGTATGTATGTCAGCCTCTGGTACCCATAACACAGGGAACCCTAAATTGGGGTCGGATGAGCGTGCGTGATTCGTTCCCAGTTATTAAAAAATTATCATTCATGTTACTTGCATCTTAGATTTATGATTGAAACGACTTATACCAAAGGAGGGTTATAATTTCAGCTTTTTATTTACGTGTGGATTTTTTTGTTTGATATGTGCTGTTGAATCTGTTGCTTCGTAATTTCTGATGTACACTAATCCCGCTTATAACACGGTACTCTTATAATGCATTTTCATATTACGCGATTTCAGTTCCTCGTATAACACGATTATTCCCCCATACAACGCGGGTATTTCGCGTATCTTTGACCATTTTTTAGACCAATAGTGTTGTTATAAAATTAAGTTGAATTAAGTTAAATTAATGTGTTCCTGGTTTTTGCGTTTCCAACCTACCGTGTTCTAGAGAGGATTACTGTATTTATTTATGTTACTTTGGCAAACAAGGTGTCATTGGTATATTGTAGCTTAAAACTATTTGACGATAGTATATTTTAAAATCTAACGAAAAACTTTTACCCGCTGATTTATATTAACTAAATTTTCAAGAGATCTTCAAATAAATTCAATATTATTCTTCGGTTAGGTACATATGTTATAAAACATATGTGACAATATAATGTAATTCAAACTACATACATGGTTGTTTGCTTTAGTTTAGCTCAAATTTATAAATGCTTACTTATTGTAAAGTTATATTATTATAAAGAGCCCGGAAGCTTAAAATAATTACGACAGATTTTTTTCTATATATGTATGTACGTTTTCAAACGATAATTAACATTTACAATAATACCATTATTGTGTAGATACAATCATTACGACCTTTTAACACGCCACGTTTTATTATAATAATAATAAAATATTTTATTTTCGAATACAACGTCCATCATTCAATATTACATTTGAACAGTTCAAATGACAACAAAATGTGTATATACACTGATTTGTATTTACTTATTTTGTTTTTCATTTGTTCGTACGAATGCAATGATATGATTAGTATGGTTCAATGGTATTAAAGTTTATATCGATCATGTATTGAGATGAGAGAGATGGGGAGAACAGCGGGCGATCGAACATTGTGGCTAGAGATGGGTCGTATTAGGTAAATCTAATAGGTCCACCTGTTCCTAATCTCAAGAAATACCTTATCCAAATACTTAATCCTATCCTTCTAATCTAATCTTCCTAATCTCATTCACAACCAATACTTTACTTAGCAAGCAATCTCAATCTGCCTATTCCTAATGTCACGTTCTGAGTTCGTTATTAGGATTTGATTAATATGATCGTTCAATCGTTATTTGAATGATTAGGATTAGGCATTTAGAGATTGTGAGATATGTTGCAACGTAAGTGAGTGAGATAGCGCAGGAACAGGTGGGAGAGTATACTGAACATTCGATTTTATGTTTTAAGAATATAAAGATTAGATGGAACGGGTGGATTATACACATTGACAAAATGGGATTAGGTGTAGCCTAATCTCGTAAAATACCTAATACTCGCGTCTGTTCTAATAAAGCCGATTCATCTCTAATTGTGGCATAAAAAAGGAACGGCCTATGCACAGCAAAGGGCTGGCGATACGTACATGATATCGTTTTTCTTTTTTAATTAAAGTAATTTATTTAGAAGACAAAACTACTATTCGGAAGGCAAAAAACTGATTTAGCTTATGAATAACCTTTAGAATCCGAAAAAATATATATTTGAAATTATAAATAGCTCTATTTAAAGATGCGTGCTGAAACAATTCGGAAACCTAAACTTCGCAGCTTGCCTTAGTAGTAATTTTCAGCATGATTGTGTTGAAAGCTGTTATTAACTCAGCGTCAGCATACTAAGTTTCCTGCCGGATCTTCTCAGTGGGTCGCGTTTCCGATCCGGTGGTAGATTCTGCGAACACTGCTCTTGCTACGGCCAGTGTTAGCAACACTTCCGGTTTGAGCTTACCTACATGTTAGGGCGAAGCTGAAATAGCCCCTCAAAGCTTTTTTTTTATTACTTAGATGGGTGGACGAGCTCACAGCCCACGTGGTGTTAAGTGGTTACTGGAGCCCATAGACATCTACGACGTAAACACACCACCCACCTTGAGATATAAGTTCTAAGATCTTAGTATAGTTACAACGGCTGCCCCACCCTTCAAACCGAAACGCATTACTGCTTCACGGCAGAAATAGGCAGGGTGGTGGTACCTACCCGCGCGGACTCTCAAGAGGTCCTACCACCAGTAATTACGCAAATTATAATTTTGCGGGTTTCATTTTTATTACACGGTATTTACTAATATTAATTTATTACTAGTATTAGAATTTATATAATATTACAAAATTATGTTCCAAATCGTCAATAATATTGTAAAATGGAAACTTCACAGGTAAAGGCTTCTCTAGTTAATAATAAGAATAATAAATATTTTACTAACAATCACGCCACGTTGACTGGTCCCGTGCTAAGTTCGTAAAGAACTTGTGTTACGGGTACCAGATAACGGAAATAAATGTAAGATTTTTATTATACACATACACATATGTAATATACATCCATAACCTTGGAAAAGTCATTTTTATATTTTTCATACAAAATATGTTCCCTTGGCGGGATTCGAGCCCGCGACCCCCTTGTGTAGTGACCATGTCACTTACCACTACACCAGACGACAGTTAAGAATTATGATTACGAGCATCGCACATACCATAAAAATTTAACTACGTCAAATCACACAATTTTCAAGATGCTTTAAGCGCGCGCAAGATATCTATACTAATATTATAAAGAGGAAAGATTTGTTTGTTTGTTTGTTTCGAATAGGCTCCGAAACTACTGGACCGATTTGAAAAATTCTTTTTCCATTAGAAGCCGACATTGTCCCTGATGAACATATGCTACTTTTAAAAAAAAAAAAAAATATTTTGTTTTTTTGGTTTCATGTGTGTTTTAATGTTTCCGAAGCGAAGCGAGGGCGCGGGTCGCTAGTCTATTATAAAATGGATTTTTTAATAAATGGATTTTAATGTAATATAATAAATGGATTTTTTTCTTCTTTTTGTATCGGTATTTCTCCTTTAAAACATTGAATTTATAAACCAAGGATTAATTTAACCAAATATTGTTGAACTATGATTTTTCTTATGGAACAATTGTTCAAAAACTGTTCGTATAAAATTTTTATCTACTCACGTAACGGCGAAAATTCTTTATTATGAACTTTGAACGAATAAACTTATCCCTATAAGCAAACTATAAGCAAGCACGTTAAACTTTTTATACTAAGAACTCAATTGTAGTTTATACCTTCTGGAAGTATGCATATAGATATGTACATGTAATGAAGACATAAATCAAAACGGACATAAAATCACATTAAATGTTGGAATATGAAAATTATAATTATTCATTACAATGCAATCTTTTCATCTAAACTATTTAATAAATACGTTTTAATAACTTTACGAATAATTAAAATTTAACTAACAAATACATTATTTTCCAATTGATTTAATCATTATTACCGTTTGACACGGTATCAGAAATTGGTTATAAAATAACAGAATATTTCTAAACATTTTAATTTGTTCGTTGGGCAAAGGCTATTTAGTTCGTATACCAATATGATTTGGTTTTGGATTTTGACCGGGATCTTGGCTTTAAGTGCTGCCGATGAATACATCGTAAGAAAAATAATTTTTGTACAGTGTCCCCTTACAGGACGGACACACGTTGGTGCAAAAGCTAAAAACAATCTAGCTAAGATTATTCAGATTTACCCCTGCTTATTTAATTCGATTTTATAGGGTCCCGGAAGATGGCTTATCATAAGCGTAGAGAAATGCCCTGAGGACGAAATTTATCCAATAAATTTCGAAATAGCAAAGAAAAAGGTGAATCGAACTCATGATGGATTCCATGGCAGCATGGTCCTTAATCAAGCTCTGGACGATGAGTTTGGGGTAAGTCGTAGCTGTTAGTGTTAACGGATTAAAGCATCACGTGTCAAGTCTAGATTTTTTATAGATATAAATAAATAGTTTATATCTATAAAATAGTTTTTACTGGTGGTAGGACCTCTAGTCCACGCGAGTAGGTACCACCACCCTGCCTATTTCTGCCGTGAAGCAGTAATGCGTTTCGGTTTGAAGGGTGGGGCAGCCGTTGTAACTATACTTGAGTTCTTAGAACTTATATCTCAAGGTGGGTGGCGCATTTACGTTGTAGATGTTCATGGGCTCCAGTAACCACTTAACACCAGGCGGGCTGTCAGCTCGTCCACCCATCCAAGCAATAAAAATAACAAGTTACAAGAAACGAGCCTTTTCTTATAGATCAACATAGATATCTGCAAATACGTGGACGGGGGCTGCAAGCAGATACAGGTTTTACAGGATGACTGCCTATGTTGCTTCGCAAGGAAATACGCCAAGGATAACTTAGAGAGAGGACTCACATTGGCCGGCATCGACCCGCCTGACTGTCCTATAAAACAGGTATTGTATAACAGTAAAGAAAGAAGAAATTTAAACGGATTTTTCTTACTGCCTTACTGCCTATATCTATAAAATCCTATATAATAAAAATCCATGTTTGTATGTGTGATTGCCCTATGAGCGTTCCTAAATTATTAAACCAAATTATGACTGTGTGAAATTTGGTATTGTTGTAATTGGCACTCTGTGGAAATGACGAGGCAAGAGGGTTGTGCGACTAATTATAAATTGATGGTTTTTCTTACAATTAGCGACATACATCAAAACATAACCGAAATTATTTGGTGCGGCATATAATAATTGATCCGATGCTACGGAAATGAAACCGAGGGATAGACAGAATCCTGTATGACCTTTTAAATGAAAACATATTGAATGATAAAGACGCGTTACATGGTGATACCCACCCGTGTTAGCTAACAATTAGCAATACCGCCCTTTCCACTAAGTAAATAATTCATTAAAATACGAATTTCGCAGCTGGGATGCTACTTCACGTCCTTACTATTTTGTTATTGTTATATCTATATGATTATCGCAGTCTTGAGATCCTTTGACATCGCGTATCATGCACTTATTAATTATCAAAAAATTTGTACAGTATAAGAATTTGAATAAAATCATATCGCATCATTCGAGACGAGTACGTACGCTTGTACCTTTTTAAAAAAACAATTCTAAAATCTTAAAACAAATTTTGATGAAGCGCCTTCAATTAACAAGTTAGATCGAATCTATTTCTGCTCTCAAATCTATCTTTAGAACGTAATCTTGAAGACAGACACAACCGATAGTGAGATTATTTACTGGTGGTAGGACCTCTTGTGTGCCCGCACGGGTAGGTACCACCACCCCGCTATTTCTGCCGTGCAGCAGTAATGCGTCTCGGTTTGAAGGGTGAGGCAGCCGTTGCAACTACACTGAGACCTTAGAACTTAAATTATATCTCAACGTGGGTGGCGCATTTACATTGTAGATGTCTATGGGCTCCAGTAACTTAACACCAGGTGAGCTCGTCCACCCACCTAAGCAATAAAAAAAAAGATGATGCATCCTCAAAAGTCAAAGCTGATTTTCCTTCATAATCACGATGAAAAGTTTTTTAGTATTTTAATTATGTATATAATTTTTTTTCATACAGGGTAGTTACGAAATAAAAGACTTCGTCATAGACTACGACGAGCTTCCAAATAACTCGATTTACGGGAGATTCATGGCCCGAGTCGAGTTAGTCGGCAAGGCCTTAAACAAACCCGACACCGAAGTCCTTGGATGTATAATCCTCAATTCAGAATTCAACAAATGCGAAGACGACGAAGACGAATAACTAAAGCATAAAACTAAATAATTATTGAAGTTCTACATTTATTTTTAGGGCACAGTTTTTCTAACTTTTTTGTTATATTTATGTGAATTTATTTTTGTAACATAGCAATTAGTTATTAATGATCATATTTTTCACAATGGTGTTCGGAAGTCAATGGAATTGTCATCTGCTATTGTTGAATTTAGAGAATTAATTTCCAATAAAGACATCGTTGTTACCTTAGTTTATGTTATACCAATTTATTTATTTACCATTTACCTCCATTTGGGTATATAATATAAATTTCTTTTTCTCTTGATTACCCACGTCATTTAAGGCTGCAGTAGATATTTTACTCAACAGCCACAAAACAAAAGGTCTGACCTATACGTAAAAGAGCTTCTAAAAATTGGCATACAAAAACAACACGAGTTAAAATAAAAATGGCTAGACTGTTCCATTTATTAATTCTATAAATATTTTTTCTCCTACCTACGCCGAAAGTTCGATTTTCGTCCCGCTGTACAGGGAAGAAAGTGTAACTTTTCCTCCCTGGGTACCAATGAAGTAGGAAACCTAGGTCTATGCTGGGTACCGACAAGTGCGCATGTGCGTTAGTGTCTACGTCTGCTCTCACGCACCCAAAATTCTCCGCCATTGTTGTGCTCGGGTAATTTGCAATATTGTGTTTAGTGTAAAAGTGAAATAAACAAAAGGCAATAAAATTGAATAGTTAAGTATTAAACAAAGATGAGTTCATCAGACAGTTCTTATTAAATTAGTAGTAGTTTATTAAAAAAAAAAAACAGTAAATTGCTCTATGTAGGCAGTTTGGTGGTGCCAAAATTTCTAATGAACGAGTACAAGTGTTAGTGGAAACTAAGTTATAAATCGCAAGTGTACATTTCTTTGTCCTTTGGTTTTGCATTTGTTATTATTTTAACTACAGTGATTTTTAACCACAGAGAAAGCCATAACCTTTACGTGGAAATTCCAACCGGTTAAGAGAATAAGTAGTACATGAATTAAAAAAAAAACTTGGATTCCCTATAAAATAAGAAACATCAACTTTTCTTCTGCATAATTTGAGTGTAACGTAATACCGTTTTTATAAACGTTCTTATTCTGTGCTCAATAATTGTATCGTAAATTTAATTTAATGCTCCTTTTATTTATGATAATTAATATAATTAGCCTCTTGTGAGTCCGCGCGGGTAGGTACCACCGTCGTGCCTATTTCTGCCGTGAAGTCGTTAATGCGTTTCGGTTTGAAGGGCAGGCCAGCCGTTGTAACTATACTGAGACTTTAGAACTTATATCTCAAGGTGGGTGGCGCTTTTACGTCGTAGATGTCTATGGGCTCCAGTAATCACTTAACACCAGGTGGGCTGTAAGCTCACATAAGCCACACATAAGCAATACAAAAATATGGGTCAGGCCCAAATTAAATGTCGAGTGGTCAAGGATGTAGAAGCTGCATTCAATAAGATATTATTAAACTTCACACCCAGCGACAATTTTCTGTAATCGGCGCTATAGGGCTCAGTAATTCAGTACTCTTGTCTATCACTTTTGTCGTGGTATTATGATAATCATACCCAAACGTTTTCTAAACTCAGAGAATGTGAGATTGTCTTTGGGCACAGATGCCTTACCGTGATAAACTTCCACGCGATACATTTTTGATTACATTTCTGTATGTATAATTTTTACTTATAAAATAATTTTTAAAAACGGTATCACGAAATTAAAATGAAAAGTGATACTAAGGTTTGACTTCTTGAACCATACTTTCAATTATTATGCGCAGTCGCACAGAAAAACTATGACCATCGCGGACAATAGCAAAGACGGCTGATTAGTATCGGAAAACAGCTACACTAGTTTTTGCAGGAAAACATGTAGCTTTGTTTTCAATATTTCTTTTTTGGATTCTCTATAAAAACATTGTAAATAACAACGGCTTTGATAAAAAAAAAATAACACTTATCATCTACAGCAAGATTAAAAACCAACTTATTTATATATAATATTTGATTATTATGAAAAGAACGATTTGAATCTTTAAAAAAAATGTCTATAAAAATCTTACTGTTGCTACAGTAGGAAGGAATGTCACGTCATGACACGGAACATGGAAACGAAATTCGGACAAGTCATTTAACTAAAATGAAAATGTTCGAGGCACGCACGTTTCCATTGTCCAAAAATGAGAGCGAACCAAAGTCGTTTCACCAATTTGACGAGGATTTCTAGACGGTATTTGAAAATATTTATAGAGCTCGTAATGAAAACAATACCGTCTTTACCATAAGGGCACACGGGGCCCGTGCCCAGAGCCCCTATTCTCAGGGGGGCCCGAAAGACCGACAATTTCTCTCACACGTTTATTCTCAAAACATTTTTGTCGGGCACATTACACTTTTTTCACAAATCAGTAATCACAAGGTATTTACAAGGCATATACTATGCCTATAATAGAAGATTTTGCTCAACAGAAATCCCGAAAGAAACCGTTATCGAAATCGTAACCAAAAAACCAGCAGCATTCTAATATCATTAATGACATATTATATCATACTGTATTTGATTACCTACAATAAATGGTCATACTCAGTAAAAAATGTTATTATAATTCGCTTTTTTTACTTCCCAAAAGGGCCTCAAATTCTTGTGTGCCCAAGGGCCCCATCCTAGTTTAAGACGTCCTTGAATGAAAACTAATAATAGAAGACCCTTCAGCTATGCTGGTTAGTTAAGTTAAACCTATTTGAAATCCACGCTTCGTTGGTTTACCGTGTTCGATTACGTTGATAACAGAAATAGATCGCTATCGTGTTGTAGTTAACACGATATTCCAGTCACATTTGCGATATAAACGACAAACGTGTGTCAGTGGAAATATATTCCACGTTTGAAAGTCGCGAGTACACTGTTTTATTGTATTAAACATGATATTATTTTTATACGCTTCAATTTTAGCCGCCAGTTTTGCATTAGTGACGTGCTTCGGCGAAGCTATTGTAAGTCAATTTCAATAAACACGAAAAAAAAACTTATACTTTTCAAAATTAGAATCTAAGTCTCATTAAAGCGGTTATAATATCACATGGCCTTCGGACACGTCTCGTGGTGAGATGACCGGTTGTCCATAAAAAGCCTCCTTGTATAGGGACATCGTGAGACGCATCAAGTCTGCCCCCTCCAACACGACATGACGATCACGACCACTCTGTCAAGAATGACACGATTGAGAAAAATCACACGGCCCCAACATTAACCACTAAAGACGGAGCCACTTTAGACTTACTAAATACACTACTGTTAACATTCAGAAATTTACATTACTATTGTGACATCATAACTTGTATACATCTTGTAGATGGCAACCCTGCATTGTGCTAACCATTTTATCTTCCATTTGATTTCAAGTGTCTACTAAATACACTACTGTTAACATTCAGAAATTTACATTACTATTGTGACGTCATAACTTGTATACATCTTGTAGATGGCAACCCTGCATTGTGCTAACCATTTTATCTTCCATTTGATTTCATGTGTCTATTAAATACATTACTGATAAAATTCAGAAATTTACATTTCTATTGTGACGTCATAACTTGTATACACCTTATAGATGGCAATTTCATCTCCCATTTGATTTCCGTGTCTCCTAGTTTCAGAATCGATTAATTCAGAAATGAAACATAAAACTTACTGAAATAGTGTTTTTATTATTGTTGTTTCAATAGACTTAGGATCTCATGATCCACTAATGAACATTGATAATAATAAACCTTAATACATACAGGGTACCGGAAAATGGATGGTGCACAACATTGAGGATCTTCCTGATAACGAACAATACATGTTCAGACCTAAATGCCGCAGGAACAAGCTAAATAGAACCCACGACTGCTTTCGTTGCGAACTGGATCTAGAATTTGACATCGACAACAGTTACGGGGTAGGCGTGAATATTTATTAAAAACAAAATGTTTATGTTGTTAATGTGAGATCCTTCTCAAATTTGGCATGTGGTTAACGAACTTCGAGATTTTAATTAATTCATATTACTCACTAGCTTTTGCGCGCGACTCCGTCCGCGTGGAATAGTTACTTGGCATAACGCTATATTTTACCTACCACTTCATTTACATAGAAAGTGAAAATATTTTAAAATTATAGAAGAGCTATTTATAACCCTATTTTGAAACATTCTTTATTGGCGCTCCACTTGTATTCGTCTTACCGTGATGTTATAGAACTTATAGCCTTCCTCAATAAATGGGCTATTTAACACTGAAAGAATTTTTCAAATCGGACTAGTACTTCCTAAGATTAGCGCGTTCAAACAAACTCTTCAGCTTTATAATATTAAGTATAGATTAATATTTGCTCTTTAAATATGATCGGAACTTCTTCCGGATCTTATTTTGAGAATCGTTTAATTTCAGCTTTACATAGATGTAGAAAAAAAAGTTGACGGCGGTTATAAGCCGTACATGAAGATGGAATACGAATGTTTATGTTGTTTACTCAAAGAGAAGATGAAGGATAACTTTGAAAAAGCGCTAACGTTGGCCGAAATCGACCCACCGGACTGTCCCATACCGAAGGTACCTTCATGATATCATTTTTTATTTCATTGCTTTTGTAGGCAGACGAGCATACGGCCCACCTGATGGTAAGTGGTCACCGTCGCTCATGGACGTCAGCAATGCCAGGGGCAGAGCCAAGCCGCCGCCTACCATTAAGTACTCTCCGCAAGCCTCGTTTGAAGAAGGACATGTCATAGCGCTCGGAAAAACACGCGGAGGGGAGTTCATTCCAAAGCCGGAAAGTATAATTTTTCATTATTCAAATTCCATTTCGTAATTATTGTAATTAGTTATCGATTTCAATTGTTCCTTACTCACTACTAGAAGCTCTTATAGTGTGCTATATCATTTAGCCAATGTTGTGTAATGTTAATTTAAGTAAGCACTACTACTCTTTTTACTGGTTTCTTATTATATACGTGCATTATTAAATACTTTCATGACTGGCATCATCGATGATAGAGGGAGATATAAATAATGCACAACAAACAAATAACGAACTATCAACCGGCCCTAAATTAGGATACCCTGTTTTGTGATGGGTACTAGAAACTGACATACGTACATACGTTTAAATATATACATATATATATAATACACACCCAGAGAAAGAGCAAATAAACCGAATTGGTAAGAACAAATAAACCAACCAATAAGAACAAATAAATAGAGGATTAATTATACACAATCGTCTAGCCCGAAACTAGGATTCTCTGTACTATGGGGACCAAAGACTGATATATGTACATACTTACATAAATGTGTTTAAATAAATGCATGTACAGACATTAAACACAAATACAAAGAGCTAACAAAAAAAAGGGTGCGTGTACTTATGTACGCGCGTAAGAAGTTATACTTTATTTTTATTAAATTTATTTCATTTTTTTTTTAATATTAATCAATTTGAAAAAAAATCGATTAAACAACATCCTCAAATACGCATATTGGACATCCCTATTCTTGACATCGTATAAATTCGGTAATTCTCGGTACGGTTCGGAAAGTTCACCTGCGGCTATATTCAGACTCGCCAAGTTACGTCGGTCGTATTGCAATGAGCAATTTAGTGGGCAACTTCATTCTGTTAATTTTGTGTCACGGTGCGCGCGCATCGTAAAATTTCACTCTCATCAATTTTTCATAACGCGCCATATAACTTATATAACTAACTAACTAACTAACTTCATATAACTTCAAAAATTCATCAAACAAATGTTTTCCCGATGCGGAAATCGAACCCTCGCCGCGACAGTCAGGGGCGCTAACTAATTCGCCACCAAGTCAGTCAATAGATAACGCGACTGTTGCTTTTTTAATATTAAAATATCGTTGTGTCCACATTGAACAGTTTCTTTGTTGTACTAATATCATTCGTGATATATCGGTACCAGAAACAAAATATAAGATTTATTAAGAAGAATAAGAAAGGCCTGAAGTTAATCAGGGCAACGTTTGTTTTCAGGGTTCATACATTATCAAGGATTTCGTGTTCGACTATAGCGAGTTAGAGAAGACGGGCGTGTACGGTATGTTTTTAGCTATGACGTATGTCACGAACCGGACGACCGAAAACAGATTAGGCGGTCTCAAAATGAACCTGGAATTCGATAGATTCGGCTCTGACGATGATTAATATAATTTTATATAGAGGCATTATTTTTATCTTTCTTTGTTTCTTTTGGTGTATTTTACGTGAAAATTAAAATTATATGTAAAAAAATGCTGACCCTTCTTATTTTTTTCCACCTTATCCCATTAGGTGGGGTCGGCACAGCAATTTTTTTCTTCCATTCTCTTCTATCAGCCGTCATCTCAATACTCACTCCTCTTTCTCTCATATCATCATTCACACACTCCATCCATGTCTTCTTCAGTCGATCTCTTCCCCCTCTAACTTGTACTACCATTTACATACATCTCCTAGTCACATGCATCTTCTCTCTATGCACCACCCGTCCATACCACGCTAACCGTCCGCTCTTTAATTTTATAATTAACCAGGGCTACTTTCACACTTCCTCTGATATGCTCTCAAAATATATTCATGACTAGCGACTCACCCTCGCTTCGCTTCGGAAACATTAAATTTTATTATTGATAGCTGAGTCCCGCGATAATACCTGCGATTAGTATCGCATAGTACGAAAGTAACACGATTACGAGAGATGCGCAGTAAACGAAGAAACGATGCGTACTAAATGTTATTCTTTAAATTTTATTATGAAAGACTGATGAGTCGTTGTGAGTGAGACGGATAGCGACGCCTCGTTTTGACAAATACCATAACTACTATCCATTTCTTTTTATAACTTTTGTTCATTACAAACAATGGAGACTTCGAATTTTTCAAACAAAAGAATATCAGGTTTTTTTTTTAAATGAGGGATCCCTACGCATATCATACGAAATAGTAGTTTTATTGGCAAGAAAAGTGGCAAGTGTTGTACTATTTTGAAATCTAGACTTAATGGGCCATCTTTTAAAAAAATGTGCCATAGGTAGTGTAGTACACTTTTTTTCCAACGTAGAGTGTCAAAGTTGACTGACATAAATTTTATAAACCATAACTCGTCATAATTTAATTTATTTTACTTAGTTAACAATGATTATTACTTTCATTTGTTGTGTTGTCAAGCACTGTTATTTGAGATAACATTATTAAAAAAATCACTGTAAAATTGTGAAAATTGCGATCACAGTACCTAAAAATGCGACCAAGGGTGTAAAATTTGTAACTTTTTCGAAAAATGTCTATCATCGCTTGACATAGATTTTTTTTCTAATTTATTTCATAACTGGTATACCTTGGCCTCTCGCCCGGTAACAGGTTATCGTTGAGTTTTGAGACACCCTGTATATTCATATGCATGTAGTAAAAAGCGGTTATTTCAATATTACAAACAGACACTCCAATTTTATTTATACGTATAGATATATTCTCAAAATATAAGTATATCTGTGAATATTAGTGCTAGTGGTTGCGTCGCGTGTGCGCGTACCTGACGACGAGCTCGAACTGGTGGTGGTGCAGCAGGTGCTTGTTGGTGGGCAGGCGGGCGGCGAGGTCCCGCACGAGCGCGGCACGCGCGGCCGGCGCCCGCAGCGCGCGCACCACGCCCGCCACAGACTTACGCCCGTCCGCGTACCGACACTCGAATATGGCCGCCACGCACGCGCTCAGCACCTGCACCGCAACCACAACTATCAGCTCGTTGCAATCCAAGTTTTTTGTACTTAGAAATTTCCTAAAGTTATCGACAGGTAACACACACAAAACACAAGTAATTTGGCGTTTATTTATTTATTTTGAGTCTCCAGCAAAGAATATAGGCAATACAAAAAAAACGGTGCACGTGATTGAAGTGAAACTTCTTTTTCGATGTAGTAGTAGTATTGTGGTTTTCTTAATTTTTTATCCTTCTATCAAATTTCTCTTGTAATACGGAATGCTGTGTATAAGAAATGCGACATCTTCAACATTTATATCATATCTATTTTAAATTATAGATAGAAAAATAAAAAATATTTTTTTTTTAAATACTTCATTTAAATATTGGACGCTACTCGTTGCTAACGCTCGCGCTGGCCTGTAACAGGTATACTACGCGCATGCGTTCGAGTGCCGCGCATTCCTCTCGCTCTGTCTCTTTCTAGTATAGTAACGTTAAACGCAACCTTGTTGAAAGAAGTTTCACTTCAATAAACGTCGTCATCAACCCCCCCAAAGGATCGCAACAACAACTGGATCTACATGGTCTCCATCGTATTCATCGACATTCAACAGGTCATGTATCCGGCTTATGGAAAGATTACTCGGGCTGCATTTTCTATAGACGTTATTTAAAAAAAAGTGCAAACGATTGGATAAACTATGCACCTCAAGTCTCCTGGCCGAATTAGTGGGCGGCAGCTGGTTGTGCTCCACGGCTCCCGTCGGAGGGGCTGACAGCGAAACTATCCTGGGCTGAGGCGGCCGGAGTGCTGTTAACCTGATATAAAAAATTGGTACACATTTAAAATTAATATAGAACTTAATTAAACTATTGATTACGAATTTATTTGGTAATGACAGGGTTTATTAGTATGAATATAAAGGACCGTATTTGTTCGTTCGGTATAAATTTTTTTTATTGCTTAGATGGGTGGACGAGCTCACAGCCCACCTGGTGTTAAGTGGTTACTGGAGCACATAGACATCTACAACGTAAATGCGCCGCCCACCTTGAGATATAAGTTCTTAGGTCTCAGTATAATTACAACGGCTGCCTCACGATTCAAACCGAAACGCATTACTGCTTCACGGCAGAAATTGGCATGGTGGTTGTACCTACCCGTGCGGACTCACAAGAGGTCCTACCACCAGTAAGGAATCATCCAATTAATTACACACGAGTAACTTCAACAAAATCATTTTAGATGTAGTTACTACAGCAAATCATAATTCACTTGTAAATAGATGCAGTAAACGTTTTTTTTTTTAATTTGTCAACGCAATTATTTGATTCGTCGTCGAACCAATATCTACTATGCACACTTTTTGGAGATTTCGAGGTTTGGACTAGATATCTGTGATTAGTTAACTAACCAAACATTCATATAAAAACAAAATAATAGTAACAGTTACAAAAAAGTAGTCGCATTTTTTTTTAAGTTTATGCCTTTTACTAATAATTTACTTTTAATAGTAACAGTTACAAAAAAGTAGTCGCATTTTTTTTTAAGTTTATGCCTTTTGTATTTACAAAATAAATCTCACTTGGGATTATTGGCACTTCTGGCCGAGACCTCGTCCATGACGTCGCGCACCTTCCGCGCGTCGATGGCGGGGAGGGGGGGCTGGTGGATGCGGGACGACGCGCCCTCTGGCGGCCGGAGTATTCTTTGCTGAAACGGCTGCACAACAACACACTATATTTACTGTCGCGTCTGCTAATACACACGTTAGTAGTTCCGCATGATTGTGCATGCGAATTCATTATTCGTTTAATTATCCGCATCAGTTTCACTTTTTACACGTGTTCACGCACACGCTGTTTTGTTTGAAGCGTCATATTATTATGCTTAATTATTTTATGATATCAATAACGCTCAGTATCGTTCAAGCAAATATGTTCTTAATTACCTTGACTTTGTTACATTTATGAAAATATTCAGATTTGATTGTTTAAATAATATGACGTATAGTACCTGCGGATTAGGATTTTCGTTGAGATGTAACTGCATCGCGAGATCCTGTATATGTTGTAGTTCCAATTCGGGATTCAGAGATTCTAGTCTTAGTTGTTCCGGGAGATTTCTAAAAACGAGGAAAAGTTGGCCCATTGAAAATTTGTGTTGGATTTGGTTAGGGTTTCCCGATTCCCCCCAGTCAACGGTATCGTGCACGACTTACTGTAGCAAGTCGTCGAAGAGGTCGACCGGTCTCCATGGAGGGCCTCGTTCAGCCACGAGCCCGGAGAAGAACATGGAGTCGAGCAGTCGCGCCGTGAACTCGCACTGCGCCAGCCCGCGCGCCCCCACGAACCCCAGCTTGTGGAACGTCAGCACCGGGGCCGGGTGGATGCGGACCAGCGTCAGGCAGTGTCTGCAACCGACACACGCCGACCGATAACAACAACAGGATACTCTTAGAATTATTTGAATATGCAATTTCGAAAAGCGCACATCTCTGAAAATGTAAAATTTTCAGGAAATGAAAAAAATTGATTATTTTCTAAAGCAGTGTAAAATTTAAAATATTAACTTTTGAGATATATTTTAGTGTTAATTAGCAATTGAAAATTACTGGAATTATTATAAAATGGGTGTTACATTGCATGTCAAGCATGGACACCATCAATGCCAGGGGCACAGCGATTTTTTATTAAGTAGTTCCATTTGATATGACGATAAGGCTGTCTTAATGATAGGTTCAATTTTCAATTGTATGTTTCAGCTATCACATCCTTCAGACCTGAACGCATGACCACCTTCCGTTCACATTGAGCCCCACCACCGGTAATCTAAACACGAAATGAATAGTGTTGTGCCAACGAAAACTAGTCGGATTAGGGATAGATTATGTACCTGTAGCCTTGTAACAGTTTCGCCAAGGTCCTCATGAACACCGCCCTGATCTCCTTGTCTAGCATGTGCGGCGGCGAGGCGGAGGGCGGCGGCGGGGCGAAGGCCGAATCCGCCGAACGCAGTTCCGGCTGCAACACCAGAGCTAACGCGTTCTGCAGCGACGACAACAGCTTGCCTTCCGGTCGTGGAATGTTCACACCCGCTGGAACGTGGAGAGAGCCGACGTCTAAGTCCGCTACTATGACGTCTAGCTGAAATAGAACAGTTACGAAATTAATAATTTCCTAAAGGCAATAGTGCTTTCCAACAGAGTTTTAAAGTTCTTTGGTAACATCTCCAGAAAAGGACTCGATGGAGAGACTGGTAGTCCAAAGCCGGGTGGAAGGCAAGAAAGAGATCACGGGATCGATCACCAACCCGTTGAACTGACCTAATAAAGAAGGCAACTAACTCCACCATGGTCCAATATACTCGAAAAGCTTTTAAGCGTTCTGGATCGCCAGATGGGCAATCCTCGGGAACACGGGCGACCTTACAAGTACTTCTGCATATACATCGTCAACGCAACCACGACCACTCTGACAAGAGTGTCCGACCAAGAAGAATAGTGCTTTCCAAGTTATGTAAATTATTTGAAAAAATTTAAATTTACTTGATATGTATTGATATGAAAATTTACCCATTACAATAAATGAAGTTTTTTTTATGCGAACTTTAAACATTAACTTGAACTTGATAATAAAAATTCTGATCAAAAAAGTCCTAACACATACAAGCTTAACATACAGATAAACATTGTATATAATAGTTATTTAAGGAATGAACACCTAAATACCATTCTTCGATAGTGAATTCTTGCGTTTCGGTCTGAAGGGTAGGGCAGCCGTTGTAACTATACTGAGATCTTAGAACTTATATCTCAAGGTGGGTGGCGCATTTACGTTGTAGATATGTATGGCTCCAGTAACCACTTAACACCAGGTGGACTGTTAGTTCGTCCACCCATCAAGGCAATTTTTTTTTAATTATTCCGATATGTTACTTTTCAGACAGATTGATAATTTATACAAGAACTTACCAATTCGGAAACGTCCTCTTTTAAATTAGAATGTACGCCGATGAGGAAGGGCGTCGGCGTCGCCAGGACTTCGGCCAGGCCGGCGGGCAGCAGCGGTATGTACACGTGCGCGTATCGGAACGGGAACATGAGGGCCGCCAGCGCCCGACACACGCCGGCGAGCCGGGCCGCCGCCAGCGACACGAGCAACACCTTGTGCTCGCTCATTACTGCACACCACAGCGTCACTGCGTTGTGTATACCTGAAATNATGAGGAAGGGCGTCGGCGTCGCCAGGACTTCGGCCAGGCCGGCGGGCAGCAGCGGTATGTACACGTGCGCGTATCGGAACGGGAACATGAGGGCCGCCAGCGCCCGACACACGCCGGCGAGCCGGGCCGCCGCCAGCGACACGAGCAACACCTTGTGCTCGCTCATTACTGCACACCACAGCGTCACTGCGTTGTGTATACCTGAAATAGGACAGTACTGCTAAATTATACCTAAAATACTGGATTACATATTTCTTTATCGCTTAGATGAGTGGACGAACTCATGGCCCACCTAGTGTTGGGTGGTTACTGAAGGTCATAGACATCAACAACGTAAATGCCACCTTGACATCTGAGTTCTAATGTCTCCATTTTTACAGTTTTTTTTTTCTTTCTACCTAAGCTGAGAGCCTTAAGAGGCTATTTCAACGTAACCTTAACTAGTAGGTGAGCTCACGGGGCTCAAACCTGACGACGTTGTTAACACGAATCCTAGCAAGAGCCATGCTTCGCAGAATCTACCACCGGAGCAGAAACGCGACCCACTGAGAAGATCCGGCGAGAAACTCAGTGGGCTGTGTCTGAGAGTTAATTTACTTGTCGAGCCTTCAAGCCGAAACGTATTATTACTTCACATCAGAAATAGGCAAGGCGGTGGTACCTACCCGTGTGAGCAAACAATAAGCCTCACCACCAATTAAAACAGTAAAATGAACTCGCCTAACAGCCGAAGCAGCATGTAAACGGAGGTGTGTGTAACTGGCATGGGCGGTGCTGCGGGCGGCTGTAGAGCCTGTCGGTCCCCGGCACCGATACTGAAGCGCACCTGCGGTCCCCCTGGTTCAGGTACTAACACGCCACCCACCAGATTACCGACAAGCGTCTCGAGAGGCACGCCCAGATTCTCTACCCAGACAGTGTATATTATGCCTAAGCAGTTCTGAAAATAAATAAAAATATATGTAATTCTAAATATGAACTTGTTGTTCAGGGTAGGGTCAACACGGTAAAAGACCTCGTGGACGAAGCGCTATACGCTGGACTGATCAAGTGAAAAACCTTACCGAATACCCACTTAACGAGTGCGTGTGGAAAGCTTCAGTTCGCGAATTATGGAGAACAGCTGTCAAGGCTATATTAAACAAGGATTCCACTTGACACATTTATTGTATTAGTGAGTGGGCCGTTGTCATTGGCTAAATCTGCATCAGTGATTTCATCTTGAACTCCTTTTAAAATTAAACATAATATATTATGTCAGAATAGTATTAGTATAATTCGTTGATCACACTTACAAATTGAGCGAATAATAAATAGTGTCAAAATGCGAGCGCAACTTATAGTAATCTATGTCACTTACCCTGAAGGTATCTATGTAGTCCTGACGTGAAACTATAACAAGACATTTCGGCGCGTACATAATGCTGTGATGTGTGATGTTTGCTACGGGTCTTGAGGAATCTAGGGACTCTTCGTCCTGGAACAAAACATAATTTATTCATTAATTGATTAATAAATTATCAATTAGTTCAAGTAGTCGTCGTGGCCTAACGGATAAGACGTCCGGTGCATTCGTGTTGAAGCGATGCACCGGTGTTCGAATCCCGCAGGCGGGTACCAATTTTTCTAATGAAATACGTACTCAACAAATGTTCACGATTGACTTCCACGGTGAAGGAGTAACATCGTGTAATAAAAATAAAACCCGCAAAATTATAATTTGCGTAATTACTGGTGGTAGGACCTCTTGTGAGTCCGCGCGGGTGGGTACCACCACCCTGCCTATTTCTGCCGTGAAGCAGTAATGCGTTTCGGTTTGAAGGGTGGGGCAGCCGTTGTAACTATACTTGAGACCTTAGAACTTGTATCTCAAGGTGGGTGGCGCATTTACGTTGGATGTCTNAAAAATAAAACCCGCAAAATTATAATTTGCGTAATTACTGGTGGTAGGACCTCTTGTGAGTCCGCGCGGGTGGGTACCACCACCCTGCCTATTTCTGCCGTGAAGCAGTAATGCGTTTCGGTTTGAAGGGTGGGGCAGCCGTTGTAACTATACTTGAGACCTTAGAACTTGTATCTCAAGGTGGGTGGCGCATTTACGTTGGATGTCTATGGGCTCCAGTAACCACTTAACACCAGGTGGGCTGTGAGCTCGTCCACCCATCTAAGCAATAAAAATTAGGCAAAGAAAGAAAAGTGTTGAGAATATAGGACGAGATACCTAAGCTTTAAACTAAGCTCACCGCTGCTGTTTGCGGCAGGATACTGAGAAACATATTATGCGTATCAATCAGATCAACACTCTCTACTTATAAATTACAGTATATTTTTGTCGTTTAAATATTTTACTCATCATAGATCATAGATCAGAATTACTAACTATGCATACATATATAACAAGTAATTGAATGATAGTTTTAATTAAATAAAAAAGCCCTATTACCTTAATAATGTTTACATTATTTATCTTTTACTGCCCAATCACTACATAGTATAAAACAAAGTCGTTTTCTTTATCCCTATATTCCTGTACGTATGCTTAATCTTTAAAACTACGCAACGGATTTTGATGCGGTTTTTTTAATAGATAGAGTGATTGAAGAGGAAGGTTTATATCGACGCTTGAAAAGCAAACGTGACTAAGCGACAATGCGTGAACTTTACAGTAGACTAACTTAAAGTTGAAATACCTGAAAAAAAATTATTTTAACGAATCTAGCTGTAGTGAATCTAGCTAGTAGCTGCAGGATTGAAATGATTTTAATAGACCTAGAAATATATTTTTTTGCTCATCGAATATGGTTATTGCCTATCATTTATGTACAAAGCAGCTATTGTCGCTTAGTCACGTTTGCCTTTCAAGCGTCGATATGTATAATAACATCCACTAAATAGTGGAGAAATCAATAATAAATTACAGTTTCCGAAGCGAAGCGAGGGCGGGTCGCTAGTTTACTATAAATAAGTACATACATGTACACTTTTTTCAGATTACCATTTTGAAGACAAGTTTCAAAACAACATATTAGAGAAAATGTTTTTAGATGAAATCTGACGACGAACGTTCACGTTACGTTACGTTATAATATCTTCTCAGCTATAAAATCCGACTTATAGAAATACCGAGGCAAGGTAGCTTCCGGCGGCGTCTTAGGAAATGACATCGTTATTAGGTTTACGTTGAGTCTACCTCTAAAGCGGCAACAAATTTCAAATTTATTTATTTTTCCATACTAAAATACGCAGCGGGAAAAACGTTTTACATTACCGACGTAAAATTGTGGTGCCCGCGGTTGAACGCTTCTAAGCAATGTATTAATTAAAACAATTGCTGCTGATGACTCGGGAAACGATTACATCAAAAACGAATATTCCATTTCAAAACGTAGACTAATATAAAACAATATTTTAATTCAATCCATTGTTGACGCCTGTTAATATTGCTGTTAATATCTATATATTAATACGTGAAGCAAAAACTTTGTATACCTTTTTACGAAAATTGCGCGGACGGAAGAGTATGAAATTTTCCACACTTATAGAGAATATAGAGAAGAAGTGCACAATGCTAATTTTTTTTTTAAATAATGCATAAAAGATACATTAAATCAATAAAGAAAACATTACACACACTACATACCATTTGACGCACACACGCATGGATACTAAGTATTTATTGTCAAACTTTTGTACTTGACGTTTGTGGTCAAACTGAGAATAGATTAGATATTGTTTGTCTTTATTAATATTTTTTTATAGTGTAGCCTTGGCGAAATTTGTGATTATAAAATAAAATACAATCATAATAGTGTACAAACTTACAATTCCAATTAATTCTGTTTGATTATCGTTAGTGAATAGTAATGAAATATGTCCGCACGTTTTTAGTAGTTTCTGTACTTACAATATAAATTGTTTGAACACGTGCGCCTGCATGTAAACGTTGACATAATAACCGAATATTAAATTATATAAACACCGTTAATCCTTTTGAATTTTAATTAATAATAAAGAACGTTCTTCGTTTTGCAAGTATTCGTTAACCGAAAAATAGTGTATTGTAATTTTGTAATGCTTATTCGAAATTTGAACATCATACGCTTTGGATCGGGCCGGGTCATCGACGAAGAATATATCATGGAGATCTTTAACTTCCGCATTTAGAAAACCAACCTCATAATCATATAAATACCAAAGTAAATTTTAGTAAGACTTTTGTGTGTTTAGCTTGTACGAAAGATAGTAATATATTGTATTACTAGCTGACCCGGCAGACTTCGTAGTGCCTCAAGCGATAGATAAAAGACCTAAGCTTTTGTATAAAATAAACATAAAACAAACAAAAAGAATCCGCCCGACGAAAATTGTTTTTTTATTTAATTACGAGCATTTTCATATTTAACTACCTTTTAAACCTTCTCTGGACTTCCTCAAATAATTTAAGACCAAAATTAGCCAAATCGGTCCAGCCGTTCTCGAGTTTTAGCGAAACTAACGAACAACAATGAATTTTTATACATATAGATTTTACAATGTAGATTTATTTATTTTCTACTTAACCATCCAATACGATCATTATTAGTAAGGCTACGTTTTTATTGAAATCACTAAAATCCTTCAGATTTTTTAATAACGAATCAAAAGAAAACGTACAAATGACCAATAATGAAGCAAATAGTACATATTATTAACATTACAGTAAACTTGAAAAAACTCCTTTGAAAATTTTAGAATAACAGCAACGCAGACGTTTCCTTGCTAATCTTTCGTTTTGCCTATTTAACTATTACTAGATGTCCCGCAGTAGTCGAAATTCGACTATAATTAATTGGAATTGTAAGTTTGTACACTATTATGATTGTATTTTATACTTCTATAATCACAAATTTCGCCAAGACTACACTATAAAAAATATTAACAAAGACAAACAATATTGAATCTATTCTCAATTTGACAACAGACAAGAACAAAAGTTAGACAATAAATAGTATGCATGCGTGTGTGCGTCAAATACATGGTCTGTAGTGTGTGTAATGTTTTTTTTATTGATTTAATGTATCTTTTACGCATTATTTAAAAAAAATATTAGCATTGTGCACTTCTTCTCTATATTCTGTATAAGTGTGGAAATTTTCGTACTCCTCCTTCCCCGCAATTTTAGTAAAAAGGGATACAAAGTTTTTGCTTCACGTGTTAATATATAGATTGTGGAAACGTAAAGAACGAAATGGTGGAAAGAAACGAACAGAGCTTGAACACCGAAAATTTTATGGATATACTAGCGGACCCGGCAGACTTCGTAGTGCCTCAATCGATAAATAAAAGACCTAAACTTTTGTATAAAATAAACTTGAAATAAACAAAAGGAATCCGTCCGACGTGGGATACATCAAAGGGAAAACAAAATTGTTATTTTTATTTAATTCCGAGCATTTTCATATTTATCTACCGTTTTAACCTTCTCTGGACTTCCACAAATAATTTAAAACCAAAATTAGCCAAATCGGTCTAGCCGTTCTCGAGTTTTAGCGAGACTAACGAACAGCAATTCATTTTTATACATATAGATTTGGGGGATTATTCCTTTTTTCTTTTAAAGATTTGGGACTAAACAGAAATAATTGTCCTTTATTCTTTATACACACATATAATGTAGGTAATTCTTATACACGAGTTGCGTTATTATCTCGTAATGGTTTATTTTCACTTTTGCGTGAAATTTAATTGGACTTTGGAAAGTTTCTTCTTTCGTCACGAGGCCTTGAAATAAACATTTAAAATATCAGGGTAGAGAAATACATAGATAGCACCAACGTCATAAAATATAAACGATTATTTTGTAACAAAGGTAATCGATCTGTAATATGTATACATGTATTGACGTCTTTCACGGATATCCCTTTCCTCGTCAAATTAATTAAACATTTCCGTAAATCTAGATGCGTTCCGGTTTTTAGTTAGAGCAGCTGTTATTCTATACTACTAATATATCATAATGGTTGTAGAGCGTTTTATGAGTATATACAGGTATATACCATCAACTTGTTTATTTCAGCCGTGAAATAGTAGTTTGGAGAATGAAACAGCAGTTAGACTCCACAATTAAGACTTACACTTTATGTCTCTCTATGTAGGTCGGTGACTACATTCGCCTTACAATGTTAATGGATTTACGGTAACAACTTAACACCGGGTGAACCGTGAGCTCGTTCACCCATCTACGCGAAAAGATGATATGTTAAAATAACGTCATCCACTGTTTTGTTTTATAAAAACGAAACTCCGACTTGTACATTTTGTTTGATATTATCGTCCATAATTTGATGAATAATACATTAAGCTGGTACGTGCAATTCGGCGCTAATTACCAATCGCTTGCCACACAGCTCGAGAAATAACATTATTATAGAATGAAACTCATAATTTTACACACGTTTTGTTGCAAAATAATTTTTGGTAGACTTTTTTTTGTGTCTT